ACAGTACCTGCAAAACTGTTCGATTCCATTAGTTACTTTAAACGTTTTGCTGAAAGGCGTTACACTGGCTGTTTAAAGTAAAAATAAAACTATCAAAGATTCTTCATATAATGCAAGAGAGATAAAAATACAAATCTATTCAGAATTGACATTTTTTTTCTCTAACTTGAATCGTCTGTAACTCGAAGCTTTTTTCCTGTCCCTTGGAGCTTCGAGTTAGGAAAGTTTTATTGTAATTACATTTGAGGTTTAACTAACAACAGAAGCAAAAGTTGCACCACGCAATATTTATTTATAGAGTCCTCAACTATGCATCTTTTTTCAAGAAAGTCATTATTTTTCTCACAACATTATTTAATTCAATATTACAATAAATCTGAACGACTTTCACGTCTTTTCACTCGAATTCTTCGACACAGGACTAAACAGATCTTTGTAATAGCCTAGTTTTATTCTTTTAACTTCCGCGTATACTACGCGCTTCCTCAATTCTTCTCGGTACACTCCATTCTTTCAGGTAGAACTTAATTGCTCAGGAAACTCCGGTGTAAATGTATCATGATGTTTCTGACCCCGACGAAAAGATTGGCTCTTGTTATATTTCTCAATGGTTTCACTATATTAGCCAAGTTTGGAATAAATCTTGCACAAGATGTCACCCTACCAAGTGAACTATGAGTTTGCGTGGCATCGCGAGGAGGATCCATTGTAACAATTGCAGTAACTTCTTGATCTATCTCGTTTTTGAAGCCATGGTTGCAGTCCAGTTTACTAAAATCTTATTTCCGTAGCCACGATATCGTCAAAAATAGACAATACATGTCTTTTTTTTACATTTATTAATTTCTCAAACATCAATACATATTCTAATTGCATAGGGATCAGGTTTTTGGCTTTTGCTTCCAGTGTATCGGAGATGACCATAGGGTCGGCTCATCTTCAACCTCCTGTAAATGGTAAGTTTTGTCGATGTGTTTGAGCAACTGATGCCACTGTCTCATCTATGTTAATTAAAGTGAATTCCTTGCTCTTCTGGCATAAATTATTATCCCTCTTTATCTAATGATTTTACATATTTACAGGCTGTAGAACTGTAATAAGTCTGAACTCCTTGGCCGTAGAGTAAAAAAAGTAAAGGTTGGCCTGCACCTTTTGTGACATATAATTATGCGGTTATCTTGTAATTATGCCATACTGTAGTTCAGCCATGAATGCATCTTTCAGCAGAAGAGGGATTTTATCGGTGCAACTGTAGTTTAGGATTTAATTAACTAGTTGCAATCGTTGCTTGGAATGTCGTATGTTATTGATGTGTCATATGTAAGTTGTTTAATAATATTTATATAAAACCTGAAGTTTGCGGTCCTAAAATTTTAATTTAATTAATAAATAGTGTGATTGTGTAAGAACGGATGGCACAATCGGTTTATTTCCAACGTATCGTAAAGGAAGATGAGATGCAAATCAACTTTCCGAACTTGAACCTGTTTTAGAATACATCTTTGAAATTGTCGACGTCCATTAACAGTGCTTAAAAGACTTCACTAGTATTGCTGGTATTTTAATTAACTTTAAAATTTACATAAGTACGCGTCAAATCAGTAATCTATTTCTAAAAATATTATTACTTCTGTCTTCCATTCGAGTCATATCCAGTTTGAATCGAAATATTTCTTGAATTAGTTCACGTTTTTCTTGTCTAGAAAATAAATTAGGTTCTTTTATTTTCGTATAATTATAAAATATAGGATATAAAACATTTATATGTAAAATTGATAAAAAATATATTTTTAATTGCAGTGTGTAGCGTCTGTGTAATCCAAAACGAGTTGGTAGACGAACGGACAGCAATTGGTTAGAAAACGTACTTTTTATTTAAAAAATTCCTTATTCATATGCATTTCGGTTTTCTCTAGAGAAAATACAAAAAAGTATCATTTATTGTGCAATTACCAACCTGTCCTGGGTGCAGAGGCATCAGAAACCTTGGGATTTATTAATTAAAAGAGTGGAAAGCATCAGATCAACTGATGACATAAAGAAAACATTAGGCTTTCGGGATGAATTCAAAGATCTTTTCTAAGGTATGGGGAGACTAGAGGGAAAGTACTCCATAAAATTGAAGGAGAACTCTGTGCCAGTAATTGAACCACCTCGTCACCTCGTCGGGTTCCACTGTCTTTGCAAGAAAAGTTGAAAACAGAATTGCATCGAATGGAACAAGAGGGAGTGATAAAGAAGATAAATAAACCAACTGACTGGGTAAGCTCGCTAGTCATAGTCACAAAACCAGATGGCAGTTTGCAGCAGAAGAATTCAAAAAGTTTTCAGAATAATATGGCTTTATGTACGTTACTTCTAGCTCAGTATACCCAAAGTTCAATGGACTAGAAGAAAAATAAGTCCAGATAGTAAAAAGACTCTTTACTGAGGCAAGGAAACTAACGGTGACATACATCTAGCATTGCTAAGCTACAGAACAACACCTCTAAAAGATATGGAAAGACCTGGAGAATTATTGATGGGACGGAAACTCAGATCAACATTCCCTCAAATAGATAACAATCAGACTTTTTCTCGCCGAAATAAGAGTTAACATACGAAGCAAAAAAGAATTACAAGCCTTGAAACCGGGACAAAATGTAAGAATAAGGACAGAGAAAAAATTCTTGAGGAATGAAAGGAACAGTGAACCAGGCAACCAGGAAAGTGGCACCTAGATCATATGAAGTGCAAACAGAGATGGGAAGCTTGCTACGTAGAAACCACCAGCATATTCTGCCAACACAAGAGGACAGAACTCGCCAAGAACATTCCATCTAGCAGATGGGACATGCTTTAATTTCATATAACCTGCCTGCAAGAAAGGAGTATCAAGTCCAAGCAGCTTTGCATTAGGAAAAGGTAGTACCTGTGATTGAAGATCCTCCACAGCTGAGAAGATCGGCAAATAGTGTATCGACCACTAAGTTATTTGAAAGATTATAACTTAAGATTATGTAAATGTATACAACAGTTGTTTAACAATGTTACAAACTGATAACATTATGCTAAGAGAGATGTAAGACACTAATAGAGTATTGTTGTTTATTGTTGGTTACTCGTCTGTAAAGGAGAAAGATGTAGTGACGTTGTACTGTACATGCCAATGACGCTGCCAGGGAACTTAACTTGTAAGATGACTACGTGGAGTGAAGCACGTGCTAGAGAATAAAGAACTAACAAAGTGTTCAGAACTCGTCTCATTAATTGTTACAGTTATCAAAGAGATTTTTACTAGGATCAATGGTAGGGTGAGGATCAAGGGTAGTATGAGGTCTACGCAAGCGTGAATTTGTCCTTTTATACAATGTATAATTGTATAAATTATAGCGGCAAGCAAGTATTTATATGTGTCTGAAACTTAAGAATATGCCCCCTAGCAAAGGCGACCAGGAAGAAGCCAGGCGATTTGCTTTCTTTGCTATTTTCAAGTAATGATTTTATGAAAGGAGATGGTCGCTAGTTCTTGTTTAAGAGTTGTACTTTTGAAAAACCTCATTTTACAGATTAGTTGGAGATTTCGCTTGTTTTTTTACACGTATTTGTGATTCAATCTTGTGAAGACAAATGAAGAAATTTAACTTTATTAAACCAATTGGTTGGTTGATCGATTTAAATTGTACACGTCTTACCTCCTCTAATGGCCTAGAATTACTTACGCTTAAGACCCACACGAATTTCAGTTAAAGGTGAATTTTTTATTAAATTTATGACACATTTTTCGTTGATATTTTTCCCCTTTTACCTTAAAACACCTTTCGGAAGGCATTATTTCACGCTCCCCACGTATAAACAAATATATAATTACTAACTAAGTCACATCACACTAGCAACTTATCACGGGGCACCATATCCTAGTAACTCTCTCCCAACATAGAAAGACAAGACAAGAATCGCTTTGATTTCGTATAATGTTGTGATTTTATTTATCTTGGGGTGTTGCAATTCTATAGTCTTTATAACGAGCGACTGTTAATATATAGCTTACGTCTGATAATTCGTTATAGAGAAATCTATCGCCATTGCTACTAATTAACAAATTAAGTTATACTAAGGTTTAAAAGTGTCTTCTTTACACTAAACAAGCATGTATCTAGCAACAGAAACAAGAAAGATGGATCCATTTTGCTACGTCTTTCAAGTACTCTGCACCGATCGATTTTTAAACACCGTGCACGGTCGATAGAATTATTATCTCGCATAAAATCTGTCGATATTCAATAGGTATCATTAATATACATAATGTAATATCTCAGGTCAGAAACGTCAGAAATTTGACATAAGACAAGTATATGTGTAGGCCTATTACATAATTTTAAGATATTTAATATAAATCTATATTGTATCAGGAGTGACTCTCCTCCAAGTAAAATATAATATTTTATTGATACAATAAACATAAATTTAAGAATACAACACAAAACACAGTTCATCTATAATTACGCAAAGCATTAAAAACTTCTATATATATTCTAATAAATTGTCTTTATTGTATTGTAATTCGTCGAATCTCAACACGGTAATTCCGGTGCCTTATCTTACATTTTTTTTATTTACAGAATTGTATTTAATATGTAGTATCATCCAGGAAAATCCCCGCCTGTTTATCTGCTCACTTAACAACATTAGCTGTTAATTATCATTAAAATACTTTCGTAACCGATGTGTACGAAATAGCTCGACACCGTTAAGAAGAATCGTAAAAAGATAAAACAGATAACAAAGGGTATAAAATGCGGAAATTCCTAGAACTCAACACGACAGAATGATATAAAAGGTGTGAGGAGATAAATATTTTACACTGAAGTTTCGGATAGAAGACCAGTTGGTAAGTTGTTTATAAGCCCTTTTTATTATTCTATTTTTTAAAAATTGTTCATAAAATATATTTGTATTGCATTATGAAAAAGTTAATTAAGAGCATAATAACATAAGTTAATGGTATTATAATTCTCCAGGTTTGATAAATTTGATTAAAAATGAAAGCAATCGTTGTTCTTCTTATCATGGCTCTCGTCTTATGCCTTTATGGTAAGGACATTTTTAATTTATAAAATGAATTTTAAAAGAAATTTCTATCTATAAAAATGCATTATTTAGGAAATAATACATTTGTGGTATTGAAAAATATAATTTAAATGTCTAAAAAAAGAGAAATAATTTTTTTTTCCGAACAGCCATGATGACCGTGGAAGGTGCTTGCCAATTTTGGAGTTGCAACAGTAGTTGTATTTCGAGAGGATATAGACAAGGGTATTGCTGGGGAATACAGTATAAATATTGCCAGTGTCAATAAAATCTTTCTTAATATCTCTGTAGTTGATTACCACTGAAATTTGTTTTTAAGTAACTCAACGTTGTAACGTCTTGCAGATATGTATATCCCTGAATAATAATTTGTAATTAATAAAGAAATATTCTTTAAAGTTATTTTTTTGTGTAGCTTCTTGTGGGAATTAAGCATAAGAAAAAATAAAATTGTTTTGTATGGTTTTATATCGAGTAGGAGAAGCTTGGTGCAACTTATAAAACAATACTCGCTTGATTGCTAAATTGCTATCAATCCGAAATGGTTATTAAAGAGATTTTTACAAGAATCAATGGTTGGTTAGTGTGAGGAAATTTAAATTATTTAAAATAGACAGCAATTGAGACGTAAAATACAAGAAATTATCCAGAAAAATGTTTTTTACACACACACAAACACACTAAGTCGTGTACAAGGGTATTTATTTTGACAGCGTCGTTCTTAAAGGGTCCCTGGACAGCATCAGGAGGTCTTGAGGAAGATAGAAAGATTTATAAATGACAAAGTGCCAGAAAATAGGAATAAACAAAAATTTATTGTTGTTGTTGTGTACAGGCACAATGAAGTGACGTTTTTCTCAACACTGGGCTAGTTGAATCTTTTATTTAGTTACTTTATTTTAAGGGACGATCGAGTACATTAGAAGAAGAGAAAGATCTCGAATAACCTGGGCAGAAAACACCAGAAATTACAGAGAACACAGTGAAAAAAGAAGGAGGCACAACGTGGAGAACCATCATTCATCAGTTGCAACTCTTTGATAAGAGTAGGCTACAAAATATAATATGAAACCAAGTGTACACTTCTACCAGAATATTATCAAGTGAAAAATGAGAATGTATGTGAACAGGATGGCATTATCCCTTCGGTTCAAGTCTAACACTACCTGTGATTTTCCGGCTCAAGGAACCTTCGAACCACGCGTACGACCACGATGTAGGACTTCTACGGAGTAAGAGATAAAGGAGGAACTTTGAGAGAGGCAAGGAAGCCCTCAAATAACGCTCTCCACTATAATTAAACCCCTAAATAACAACAATTATTTGTCAAGTTTATAAAAATTTTATAAGGGAATAGAATTAGTGGAAGAGTCTATCACACAGTTTAGGCAGGCGAACTGTGTGTCGTCATCTGACCTCTTGCCTTTTATTCGGAGTCCTTCCCCTGCCATTCTAACTGGGGAAATCTTATGAAGTTCTTTGATTGCATTTGTGAAATGGAATACATCCCCTCCTTTCTTTTACCAAAAAAATAAGATTGCACTCGTCGATTTTACACTAGCACGGGTTCTCACGTATACATTGTTACACTTCAAAATGAATATTAGAAAAGAAAGAGAAATATGCGAGTAACTTAAAATTCTAATAGTTTATATGAACAGCTCAGAAGAAGACATTTAATCAAGGCCCAATTCTAAATCCTCAAATGAATTTCGATTGGTTTTCTGCATCCATCTCGCTCCTCCTGTCAATGATATGACGTGATGAGCCCAGCTGATCCACACGTAAGCATCAGTGGTCGAATGGATAAAACCACTCAACACTGATAATTGATCGTGGGTTCGCTCCTAGCTAAAGGGATGGCTACGTGGAGTTCCCGGATTTTCTTCGTGTTTAAATATAACTTAAGACCGCGACGAGTCTAAATCGGGCCATGGATTTTCTTTGTTCTTATAAATTATTCTTTATCTTCCCAATATACATTAAAGCCAGAATAAAGCACAAATTTTGTAAGCTTTGTTGTAGGTTTTATTCTTTTTTTGATGTCTTCGTTATGCCTTTGTATTTTCGTTAGTAATGTGAATGATACAGCTTTAATATGGTAAGTCTACAGGTCATTATACTTGAATTTCACCCTGTAAACTCAATAGCAGTATCCGGAATCTATGTGACGTAATTTTATAGCGAAGGGTCAGCAGAAGTCAGAAGACTCTACAAAATTTTATCTAAAATACAGGGTGAGAAAATACAAATTAATTTATATATATTTTGGCTTTCGGTAAAACAAAAGCACATTTGTGACAGGTTAAGACTCATCTTCCAGTTACTAATTAAGAAATGCATGCTTGATCCGAGTAGGAAACGAACAAGCACATTCTCCCTTTTGTCTTAAGCCGAACACGTGATTTAACATCAGAATAATGTTTCCAATTGTTCATTTAAAACGTGTAAATTGTTAAAATTTACACGTTTAAATTAGAAAATTACCAAATCTATTTTTGTATTAAGCGAATGGCAAAGAATTGAGCACGTGGTACACATAACGCACGTCACACATTGAATGTATAGCACGCACGCACACACGCAAACACACTACTAGTTTATCGATAGAAGACTTTCGCTTTATAAGCTTTAATTAAATCAAGATTATTTACTTCAACACTTTTACATTTTACATCGATTCTTTTAACTTTCTAAACACTAGACGTGTAAGTATCGCTTAATTACTTCCTCACCGTAACGTGTTCCTGTTTAACTAAATACAAGTAACTAAACACTCGAATTAACTTAATCGCTGACGTTAGAAAACTAGCGTAACACACACGTCTGACAAACGTCTGTTACGGAGATCCTCATCAAATTGTTTATAGAGCCGGCGGTGACGTCACGAATTGATTCATCGTCGCACCACTTCGCTTCCCGTCTGCTATTTTTACCTAGTGTTCACTTTATCTATCAATATTTATAGCTTATGAGAGGGGGAAGAAAAAAAAGAGGAGGCCCTCTGCTAAATTCGTAAATAACCGTCTACCAGGCGGTCAAGGTTAGTAATCGAATCATTTATGCTCCTCTTCCTTGTCTTTCTCGTATCCCATTCTCCACCCTCCCTCTCCTTTAGATTATTTAGGAACCACTTATCGAATTATGAAAGTCGGGTTCATCCGCAATCTCGCTACACCATAGCAACGTCGACGTCACTCGAGCTTTCGTCTACGTTTTCTCTTTTCTAGTTTCCTCCGCACACTAGCGGATGAGTGACGATGACGTAGTGTGACGTCGACGGCACGTATCCACCTACGCTTCCACTTGTTACTAGTGTTATATATTACTTTACGGGACATTAGGTAACGTAATTTTTTTTATTGTTTTATTTTTTGTTACGCGTTGCGTTACGTCTTCACTCCTGTCACTTCTTGATTGATTTCTCTCTCCTCGTTACCACGTTACGTGCCCATTAAACTCTAATGATGTTACGACTCGTATTTATCGTAACTTAAGGGAAATTTCTTTTTTTTTTCTTCACTGATAATGGATATTTTATGTAACAGTTACAAGGACGACTGCCTTTTTTTTTTTTTTTAATCTCAGATTTTATTTATGTGCCTCGTTTTATTTAAAAATATTTAAATTATTTTCAAAATTTAATAAATTTTTTTAAAAAAATTAGACATTTTTTACAGGGAAATATTTCGAAATTTATAAATAAAAAAAAATATATTCTTTTTATTATTTATTTTTTCATAATTCTTATAGAGAAACGGAGATATTTCTACCTGTTCTGTTGAAATATCTTATTATAATATTACAAAATATTTTATAAAATAAATAACTGAATTTTTCAATTTTATATTGGATTAAAATTAAACTTTTTAAACGTAAATTAACGTATAATGTTTTATTAAATAAATAAATATATATATATACAGTTGACCCCCCTATAACACTGTTGATAATTCCGTTTTATATGAATTTCATGTTGTACGAGTCACTTAGATTTTACAAATACGTGAGCCGTTTACAGCCCGGCACACATATTTGTAAAATCTAAGTGACTCGTACAACATGGAATTCATATAAAACGGAATTATCAACAGTGTCATAAGGGATCGACTGTATATGAGGTTTGCCGACTGATTGCGTTAGTCAGGATCGTAGCGCAGTCAGGACTATCGCGTGGGAGTGGAGAAACTCTTAGGGACAGGTTAGCAATCGTCAAACCGTTTAACAAAAATAAATATTTCTTACAACTATTTTTATAATAAAGATACTGCCTATCTAAAGCTGTAAACAAGTCTGTACAAAAAGTTCAGATGTTCTGACGATCGAGACGTTGAAGGCGATGGCCTTGGGACACTCAACAATATTTTAAAATATATTCTTTCGGCGACTAGGTGTACCTTGACGATTCTTGAAGGGACGAGAGAGCGAAAACCAAATCTTCGGATGTCAAAACAGCTTTCGTTATGTAATCCCAGGAGCACAAAATTCCGTAGAGGCACACCTCGAACCAAGAACCGCGAACAGAAAACCGAGAGCGTCATATTCTTAATTTTGCGCGATTTTTATAAGTTTTTTTTTAATCTTAGATCGAACATTCCGATATGTCGATGTCGACTTACCCCTCTTTCCCGATTCGTTTTTCACACGTTACCAAACGTAACAATATCAAAACCCAGACCGACCGACAATTCGATCTTTATAGAAGATGTTTAATCTTAAGTCTTGCATTCATGTATTGTTTTTACTTGTGAAGTTCATCTTTCTTGGAAATTTCTACAGACATGTCTTTTTATGGACATCAAATATTAATTTTTCGTTTATATTTTTTCTTATTTGACAGTTTCTTTTTACAATGTTAAATTATTATAATTATAATTATAATTATTATTATTAAATTTTTTCTGTACGAATTAAAAAATTTTTGTGCATGAATTTTCGACTCATTTTTGGAGCTCCATATATGCAATAAGTTGTATGTAATTATTATCATTAAATAACGCTTCTAGCTCACAACTTTAATTTAAATTGAATTAGTTAGCTTAATAAATAAAATTGTAATAAACTAAGGTGATAAACCCTCTAATTTTTTATACATTCCTATTTATTAGGCTAACAGTTCGATCTAAAATAATTCTTGTTATTTGTAGTTTAAAAGGATGAAAGTATCCTGATTAATTGATAANGCAAATTCCAACGTTTACTGTCAAATGTTATAATATTTCTGTTTATATTATATTTTATTTTTTTACCCACTCGAATTACAAGCAGAAGCTTAGAAAAAAAATGGGCGAATATTCGAATTATATCACTTTAAATAATGGGTTAAATATGCCTCTCATAGGACTTGGGACGTTTCAGGTAAGATTTTTGGATATAAAATTTAAATAAATATAATATAAAATTAATTTAATTAGTTAAATACCCTTAAAGAATATTAATTTTAATGAATAGAAACAAAAAGTTCGTTTGTTTGTCTATCCGTTTGATCTTTCTTAATCTCGAGAACGGAGTTAGATAGACGAAAATAGGAACCACAACCCGGTTAATTACATAAAAATCCTTATTTTTTCAGGAATTGTATGTTCCTATTAAGAAATTAATGTTTCTTTTAAAACATAATTAAATTTAAATATAGAAATAGAGGAAGAAATCTATAGAAAAATATTGAAATTTTTGTTTTCAGTCGAACAGATCTGCTATGGAAACAGCCTTGAAAATCGGATATCGATTAATTGATACTGCTTTTATATACCAGAACGAAAAGGAAATTGGAGAAGCTCTAAAACACTCGTTTGACACAAATGTGGTCAGGAGGGAGGACGTCTTCATCGTTTCTAAAGTAAGTACAGTAATCTCTGTAATACGACAAACGACTGTTGTATTAATGGATTTTGTATGTATGTATGTATGTATCATACAGTAAAAAACGCACATGTTAGTTTATTGTATTAATAATCACAATTAAAAAAGGCTAAATTATTTACACGTGTAGTATGCATATCATGCTTATATTATATGAAAGTTTTTCTAATAAATATTTACAATTTCGTGTTCTAAATATTTTTAAACAACGTAAAGAAGTCATTCGATTCAACGTATAAAATACTTTTATTTATTATTATTATTATCGAAAACGATGGAAAACTTTATAATTTATTTAAATTTCAACGTTATAAATATATAAGCACATCTTGTTTATACGAAAGTTTCGTTATAAACAATTCGTTTACATTAAAAAGTTTTTATGTTTATATTCTTTCTTTGTTTTTATTTTATTATATAACTTAATTAAAGCAATAGTAAATTCTTAGTCTAATTATGCATCACAACACGTTATTTTCCAGGTTCTGTTATACGTAACAGAGGAAAAGTATGGTTATCTGTCAAAGTATGACCCTCGAGATTTTTATATTTTTGGACTCGGGGGACCTTGAAACTTCGAGAAATTTCGGGGAATTTTCTGTATGGATGTGTGTGGGGGGCTATCTGGAGCCATACTCCAGATAGCCCTCACACAAAACCCTTAACTGTATTTGCAAAATGGCAAATACAGTCAAGCGCCTTGGTAACTGAGCAGATAGAAAAGCCTGGAGTGCGAGTACTTTATAATCTACTGTGGTAAAACATCACTTGTGTGGTTACCTTTGGTATATGCAATTTCTGGCCACATGAGTGAGGTGATCAACCACGTGCCCGGTCCTCCGTAGAGGAGCAAGCGGGACACTTGCTCTTCCCTGAGATCGAGTAAAAGATTATAATCGTAAAAGTGAAGAGAAAGCCCTAAAAATCAAACTTTATTTATGTAATTATTTGTCTCCAAGTTTTCCAGTGAGCAAGGTTGCTCACTGGAAAACTTTCTGCGGACGTCCATGGCTACGTAAAATTATAATAAAAAAAAATTGACACAGAACTATAGAGTACCTGCTGAAAGTTTAATACAATTAGGCCTATAAAAATAATAATAAATAACATTAAAATAAAAAATTCACATAATATTGTACTGTACATCCCTTGCAACGTACGGTAATTCAAATTTTTATACTGGGTAGTAACACTTAATAATAGAATATTGAAATGTACTGTGAAACCAAACTGTTGAAATATGGTTCATTCAATTATTGTATAATACTTGAATGAACTGAATTGTATTTTATCCATAGACGAAATCAATATGTTTACGAAATAGTAGGAGATTATCTAAATATTATATTTTAACAGGATATCACTAAATATGTAGGAGTGTCAAGTGACAGAAAAGAGTGCTAATAATTAAACAGCTGTAACAGGTTCATAACTCGATCATTGCTGATTCACATAATCATGATTGAATTTTAGAGTTAAATTTACTTTGTCGAGTATAAAATGAAGATTTATTTTACTTGTTGGACGGATCAAACGGTCCAAAAACTCTAGCAACAAATCTCAGTTCCGTCTAATGACCGTTGAGTTTAAGAACGTGGGGCTTTCCTGTGGCTGGGCCACGTAAATTGTGATAAATCCTATCTTGGGCACATAAGTGAGGTGGACAGTGGCCATCAAGATGGAATTTGATTTATATTAAAAATCAAGCAGTTTATGTGTTTTCTTGTTTGTTATAAAATTATTTAATTTTTTTAAATAATATAATTCTTAGCTTCCAAATAATGGACATCGAAACGTCAAGTACTTCCTTCAAAAGTCTCTTGATGCGCTTCAACTGCAATACTTGGATTTGTATCTTATCCATACTCCATTTGCAGTAAAGGTGAGGATCTCTCCAATACATTCATCATTTGTTTGCAAAATTTAGCATTTTAATGAGACTTTCCTTAAATAAATTTCAGTAAAATCAATGGCGCGTTAAAACTTCGTAGGGCCCAAATAAATTTGAATTAGGGGTCTCATGTACAGTGTTGACTATAGGCATTTTTCTTCGGAGAAATGTTTGGGGAAAATATTTTCTTATAAAAAATTGGTTTGGGAGGTTGTAGGAGGCCCAAACAATGGCCCTTTTCGCCCGTAGGATAACGCGCCATTGCATAAAATCATAATTCTAAGTGTAATGTTCTTGGATGACCACGCAATTCTTTTATTTCTTCTAATTCTATAAGAAAAATCAAAGCATTTAGCATTTATAAAATACTATTTTATAAAATTTACACAATTTTGCAAGTTATTAATCGTTAAAAAGATTATATTATAACAAAATGGCGATTCGTTTAAAGGGAAATCATGATCTGGATATGTATCCTGTAGAAAATGGAAGATTAGTTATAGACGAGGATGTAAACTATTTAGAAACGTGGAAGGTTAGTGAATACTTTTTATGGGTTTTTATTAATATTCGTATATATTCAATAAATTTATATATATTTACAGAAAATGGAAGAAGTCGTTCGCTTAGGAATGACGAAAAGTATCGGTTTATCAAATTTTAACAGAGATCAAATTGAAAAAATATATAATAACAGTCGAATCAAGCCAGCAAATGTTCAGGTAATGAATGCTCTTACATGTTAAATATAATTTAAATCATTCATTACAGGTGTTAATTATATACAATGGCGTAACAGAAACTAGAGACGAAGCCATTAATGCGAAGGTTGAAATGTTAAACGGATTATCAGTTAAAACATTCTAGATTATAACTTAGATAAAACATGAAAAAATTGTATTTATGTACTCCATATGATTGTTTTTATTAAAAATTGTATACACATTTTACCCTTCTATAGTGTTGTATACAGTACTTTATCAGCATTATGAATTGGTACGCCAGCTTTATATTTCCAATGGTAGAAAATACAATACGATCGTTAAGTCTCTCCTCAGTGTGGCTCGGTCGAGTGGTGACGTCATAATTTACTTTAACTGTTTGAATGTGCGGTCTGTCTGTGATGTCATTACTCGTAAAAGCTCCCCCCGTTTCCCCGCCTGCTGCGGAGGGTCTTTACGATCGTATTGTATAATTAATTCCTCCACAAATGGAATTCGTATAGTTTGTTAAACCCTACGAAAGGCGAGAACACTCGTTACTCCAAAGTATGTTGACGCATTCACAATAAGAGCCTGTTTGATCAATTCCTTTCTATTATAAATCTATGATTTTTTTCTTTCAATAAAATGTGTTTCAGCGTTGGTATTAAACTCGCAAGATAGAACTTACAAGACTTAAGTTACAAGATCAGTTTACAATATGGCTGGGAGGGATTGTTTACTCGCGAGATGATCTTAACTTACAATTCGTTAAATGGTTATCGGTGGAGGAGTGGATAAAACCGCTGAACACCTGAACTGATAGTTGATTGTGGGTTCTAACTTCACCAATGGGCTGGCTACGTGGAGTTTTCCGGGTTTTCTTCACGTTATTAGCACCTAAATAGGGGCTAGTTTTCCACAAAAGTCTTCTCGGGAGGCACCCCTTTTGGCAGATCACCCACGTGTCGCGTTGCCGTAACCAAACCAACCCACCCTGTATCAGCTTCGAAAAATCGCATTTAGCTAATAAGAATCAATGTTTCACCTAAGGCACGTGATCTATATCCAATCATACAACTCTTAACTCTTTTATTGCAGTAAACCGGACTTGCCGCCATTATTTTTCTAGCTCTTCAGTACTTGTAATCTGCGTATATTCTGATAATCGTGTTTATAGTTATTTCAGACCAAAATGGCGACGATAATAATGGCAGCATATCTGTTTCCGTTGTATTACGATTCTATTTTTCTTTTTAAAATTTACTTTTTTAATTTTTAATTAAAATATTTAATTTCAAGTATCCGTTTATCATATGACCAATCAACGGAATTAATTTTAAATTATTCTCTATTATATAAACAGAGCTGTGCATAAATTATGTAACGCAATATGTGTAATTGACCGTTTAAATGATGATAATCGAAGGCTTCATTGAAAAACTTATGACAAATACAGGTATATCCTAGCATCTGTTCAGGGGCAAAAGAGATCTTTCCAGTATTATACGAATGTATGAATGTGGTGCATACTTGTTCCAGCGCTAAAATAACCGAAGATAATAAATTTAAGACAATTCAGCATAGAATACAAATAATCTCTGACTGTAAAAAAAGTAAGCTTTATTTTGTAGAGAACAATACAATACAAAGATAAGAATGGAGCGAGGAGTTGCAGCATTCCAGTGTCAGAGTTTCACAGGTCTTATCGTATAACTCCACAGGAAAATACTCCAGGATGACAGAGGGCCTTGTCTTATCCCGGAGTAACGCAGCGTGTCATTTGCTACTACTAAACTTGATGGCTAGTCATCGAGCATTCGTTTACCGCCGTGTTAAGGATGTTCACTATTAAGGGTGCCATCAATGAATACGGTACCAAGAAGTTGCTCACCCCCAAATTTCACACCAGACTTTAGGGTAAAACGCACTTGATGTCGTGTATGTCGCGTGCATCGTGGAGCATGCTGTACCCTGTGATGCACATTGTGACGTTTATCGCTCCAATCCGGAAAACAATGATTCGTCATTCTATAAAATGTGTTGAATTTAACGCCATGTTGCTCTAATTGCCGTGAAGCATCTTCTGCAAAAATATAGATGCCGGAGCCTTCTGTTTAAAATGAATTGACGACATTCAGGCCTGGAGTGACAGCTGGCTCAACCATCACACTTAAGCTTTGGTCATACATATATACATGATTACATACGGAAAATTCCTTTACCTACGGATAAGAATTTACGGATTCTCATTAAATCTTCATTCTTTTAGGTTCACAATAAGGTAGCGGAGGGTGACAGCGGGACTTTTTTAAATCACAAGTGAAAATTTTTAAGGTTCCTAGACTCGAACCGTCAAGAGCTGCAAGATGATGAATGTTTCGACCATTCGAATTTATTTATTTATCGTGTAAAGACATTTAGGATTTAGGTTATAAACCTTTTTCCACGCAGAGAGCGTTAACTTTTTTTGTAAAGGCCCTTTGGAATTGAGGTCATAGACCTCTTTCCGCTTAGAGAGCACTAAGAGGTCAAAGCATTAATTAGAATATCAACAAAGATACACGATATATATACATATATATACTTACAACGAATATTTTATATCGATCATTACCACAAATAATCTTAATTTTTTAAATTAAAATATATTGCTTTAACACAATAAACATTTCAAAATATTTCAGGTCGAATGTCACCCTTATCTTCCTCAAGTCGAAATTTATAAATTTTGTCAGGAAAATAACGTATCAATGACTGCTTACTCTCCCTTAGGCGCACCATTCCTTCCAGAGTTTTCGCTTAAGAATTTCGGAATGTAAGTGAATTTATTCAGTAAATTTCTTAATATAAATTAAACTATTTATTGTAATTGAAATGAGAATATAATTCACATTTAATTCTATATTTCATAAATGAAAAATGTTATATTAGTATGGTAAAAGATTTTCCCATTTTACTGGATGAACCTGTTGTGAAAACAATCTCTGAAAAATATGGAAAATCTCCAGCACAAGTAATAATAATAATTATGAATTGTTTTTTAAAATATGAAATCAAATTAAAATGTAATTAAATACACTAAAAACATCTAAATTTTTCATTTTTATATAGATTATTCTACGTTTTTTGGTGCAGAAGAGGATTGCTGTCATACCCAAAAGCTGTAACGAAACTAGATTAAGAGAAAATTTACAGGTAATTTCTATAATTAATTATACAGTAGAGCGTCGTTTATCCGAATCAATTGGGGACTGGAGTTGTTCGGATAACCGATTATGTACGAAAAAATATATTAACCTGTCCCGTGTTGAAATTTTTCTCCGTTGCGTGTCGCTTCGCGTTGAATTTTCATCGATGTTAAGCCTAACGTAAACTTTTCAAAATAATAATCGTGGCTATTGTATCGTTAAAAATTACTTCTTTATTTTTTACAAGCAAAATAAATATATTGAAAAATATAAAAACAAAAAAATATATACTTTAGNTTTTTCTTGTCTAGAAAATAAATTAGGTTCTTTTATTTTCGTATAATTATAAAATATAGGATATAAAACATTTATATGTAAAATTGATAAAAAATATATTTTTAACTATTATTAATTAATTAATTCCTTTACCAATCATAAAATAATAGCACGTGGTATATGAAATGAGCCATTCTCCATGTCGACATGCATTTTTTTTTTTGGGAGTGAACACTCCAACCTGTAATTTGTGAGGATGTGAAATTCCTCACATCCTCGCAACTTTTCTTGAAATCAAAGTTGGGATCATTTGCCATTTCTTGTTTTCTCCCACTTCATTGCGAGTAAAGATCAACCACATTCGAAGCTGATCTTTTGACCTTTGAGTAGTAGTGTCACGTGTCACAAAACTCACCAAGTAATCCATGATGTCAGGCATAAAATTGGAATTCAAAAAAAATAAATAAATGAGAAGGAGGGATTGGAGTTATTTTCTTTTACTCACTTTTGTATCGTTTAATTTCGTGGGTGTAAAGGCTGGTAATTTTCAAAACGACTCTATTATTGAAAAACTTAAGAAATTAGAGTTAGCCGCGTAAGGTTCTATACCCACAATTTGTAAATAAGAAAACACGATTAGAATTATTATTAACTTACTATTCTAAGTAAAAATGTATTTACCATTTCATAAACCTCGAAATTTTTGGCATCATTTAAGTTTGTGGTGGATGATAAAAGTTCGCATAAGTTCGTGTCGCTTGCGTAATTTATTCCAGAACATTTTGGATTTTGTATACATCGTTTTTGACAGAATAAACGTAATTTTACGTCTGGTATTTCTTCTAAGACATCTTTAGAACGTTTCCCAGATGCAATGTAAGTGAAATCTCCTTGATTAACTGATATCGATTGTAAAGAATGTAGCAAAATAGATATTACAGCTAATGCCGAGGCTATGGCTATCATTTTGACAGCATTAATGAATGAGAATATTAGGTGGATTGATAAATTCTGTTCCTTAAAACAGAAAAATCGTGAGTTTCGAATTTAACTAAACAGCTGCTTCCTTAGTAAGTTTACATTAAATGCTGTATAAACCGAGTAGAATGATGATTGACAATTGTAAGTTTTCCGAGAATTTAAAGAATTGCTTTTATATTTTGTACATAAAGAAGTTAAAACAGTGCAGTGTGTAGCGTCTGTGTAATCCAAAACGAGTTGGTAGACGAACGGACAGCAATTGGTTAGAAAACGTACTTTTTATTTAAAAAATTCCTTATTCATATGCATTTCGGGTTGGCTTAAATGCCCAACCCCTCTTCAGTGCTGTTAAGGTTACACAAAAAAATTTAATTTAAGGTTAGTTTTACGGTATTGGTTAGTAGGAACATAACTAAAAACGCGAGGTGATGATAACATAAAATTGCTTACTTGACATATAATGGTACAGCATAGATGTATTTTACAAAAATTTTTTNACTACCCAATTATGTAAATTTACACACCTCCTTCAATAGTGTGCTCCGACAATTACTCCCCACGTTTGGGCAGTGTTACATACATGCTTAAATTTCGACTTCACAGCGTTTATCCTGAGGCCAATTTTATGCGTCTCCCAATCCATTGCAGCGTGTGGCGTGCTATAGCATTGTCTACCTTTCATCTAATAAGGCAATATTGTGAGCAAAAATCAAATCTCGAAAACCGTCCTGGTCAGATTAGTAGATGACCAGCGCGCACCGGACTCTTCTGCCCATCATATGATATAATAAAGGGCGATGAGAAAGAGGAAAGGGACACAACCCTGCCTGACTCCTGTCGTAATTTAAGAAAGTCAGTAGGACACAACAACTTGAATGCAGATATAACTCCTGGTAAATGGTGACAAAGTTTGTCAGTACACCATATAATCACAGAATAGACTCGCGGTGAACACTGTTAAAGCCTTCTTGAAATCAATGAAATTGATGTCCGATGTATGTCGATACTTAACGCATTGTTCGATGATATATCGAAGGGATAAGATCTGCTCGCTGAACGATTTTCCACAGCGAAACCCAGCTTGCACCTCCCGCAAGCGTTGATTGAGGGCAATCCGCATGCGTCGAAGGAGGACCACACAAATGCCTTTCCAGGCACAGAAAAGAAGGTGATACCTTGCCAGTTAGTACGCTCGGTGATATCCCCCCTCTCCTAAGAATTCTCACTATATATCCCCTTCTCCAATCCTCTGGGATTTCCCTAAATTAGCAACTCCAGTTAAACAATAACGTTACTTTTCCAACATGTGCTGCCCTCCATGCTTCAAAATCTCAGACGTAATTTCGTCCAACCGTCTGCCCTACTATTCACTAGACTCTTAATCGCATGCCAGCATCACCAGTGTCTACCTGAATCTCATACTATGTATCCTCAATATCAAAATCGTATATGATGATCGGTTATGCTTGATTAAATGTTTCTCGAAAATGTTCCATCCACCTCTGTTCTGTTCATCTTCAGCGATCAGAAGCTTCTCGTTTTTGTCTTGTATTGAAACGCTGGAGTTACTTATCATTTCAGCCAGTTCATTGACTATCCGGTACAGGGTCTTGGAGTCATTTCGATCATAAGCCTCCTGCACTTCAGCGCACTTTTGGAGTAACCATTTCTTCTTGTCTTTCCGACAGCTTTTCTTTACACGTCTATCTAACTCGTTATATCTTTGGTTTTCTTCCTCTTTCTCAGCCATTGTTTTAGCCTGGTCCTTTTTAAGTTTTGCGGCTTTTCTCTTATCAATCAACTTTCACAAGCGATCTTGGATTCACTGATCCTTTCGTTTTTCTCGACGTCTTCCAATGATGTTTTGAGTGAACTCTATGTTAATGTCTCTGAGGTTCTTTCAGAGATCTTTTATATCTATCATCTCTCCAAGAAAGGCGAAGCGATTGTGCAACTCCAAAGTAAATGCTTCGGCAATGGTTGGATTATTTAATTTTTCTTACACGAACAGTTTTTTTTAACATAAACTTCCTCTGATTACGATGATTATCCGCCCTAACTTGGTAATGGTGAGATCCAATATAGACACTTCTGTAAACCCCCACATTGTGCAATGATGACCTCTACTTTTTACAAATGCAAATAAAGTCTATCTCATCTCTATTGTGCCTGTCTGGTGTAACCGCAAGGTCTTCTTATGGATACTTAAGCCAATGTTTGAAGAAGGTGTTCCCAACACAACCGTTGTGTTCACATAACGACGTTAGCCTTTCTCCACTGTCACTCATATAAGCAGAGGATGCATGAGTACCAAGCTGCGAGTCCTCGACGATCACGGCCAAATTCGGCATTGAAGTCCCCGATCAGGACCCCTCAGCTCATGATTCCGGATACCATCAATGACGTTTTGGAGCTGCTCATAAAATTCATCTTGTATTGTGTCCTCCTCATCGATGGTTGGCGAATAAACCTATACCACAGTCGCATTAGCATGTCAATGGGTAAAACGAGCTGTACTAATCCAATTAGTGAAGGGCGTCCATCCAAGTAGTGCACGTTTACTTAGAATAAGACCTATTCCACCTTCATCCTGCTCATCAAGGCCCTCGTACAGAATAGTGTTGCCATTACTACTGATTCGGCAGTTTGTCGTCCATATGACCTCACTGACGCCAATGATGTCCAACAGGTTTTCATCAAATGTCCATAACAGCTCAGCGAGTCTTTCATTCTGATATAGAGTACGAATATTCCACGTTCCAATTTTCGTAATATTTCATACGGAAAAGATCATTTTTAACATCAGACACCATTGTATGTTGCAGGTTTTCTCCAACACTGTCATATTATTTGAAGCCGAAGTTCCGCTCATTCCATCAAAATTTCTGCTTACGTTTGCTTTTTTCGTAGTACTCATAATTTTTACAGGGATGGGTTTCTAATTCGACCTCTGCCTTTTGTATCTGGGCTCGTACGAAAAAATATATTAATTTATCCCATGTTGAAATTTTTCTCCGTTGTGTGTCGCTTTGCGTTGAATTTTCATCGATGTTAAGCCTAACGTAAACTTTTCAAAATAATAATCGTGGCTATTGTATCGTTAAAAATTACTTCTTTATTTTTTACAAGCAAAATAAATATATTGAAAAATATAAAAACAAAAAAATATATACTTTAGAAGTAAATCTAGTATCAAAAACGTTCGATTCAGCGTGACACACAGTCCTCAGAAAAACACCACACAAAAGTGCAAGTGCTGCCAGCTAAAACACACACATCAACAACAAAAAAAAAAAATATTGGAGTAGCCCGAGATATAGCCAAAGATTGCAGCGCCACAACACTAGCGAAAATTTAAATTTGCCGACTGGAATTCTTTCGGATAACCGATGTTTCGGATAACCGACTTTCGGATAAACGACGCTCTACTGTATAATTAAATACAGTATAATTATTTCTTAAGTTAAAATATCGCCAATGATGATTAATTTGATAATATAAGTCATTACTGATTATAGTTGCAAATTTTAAATATTCTTCCATAGATTTTGGATTTCAGTTTATTGGAAGAAGACATGGAAAATTTAGGAAATATAAAGAAGAGATTTAGATATTATAAATTCAATTTTATACCCGGGTAAGTAATTTATTTTATTCATTTTACTCTTTATTTTTTTTTTCCAATTTAATTATCGTATTTATTTCAGATTGACGGAACATCCGCAGAATCCATTTTCCGAGACTTGAATGAAAACATTCGATTTATTTATTACTCACTTAATAAATTTTAATATTATAAAAAATTAAAACAAAAAAAAACATGTATAAATTTAATTAATTGCTTAATGAGGAAGATAATTTACGTTCTTTTATCCTATATAAATGAATGTAAAACCAATGTCTATTGTTACCATTGGTGTAACATCATTGGAATTATGATCGTAATTAAGTACAGAGAGAATTAGATTTTTGTTATCATTTTATGCCCTTTACTCTGTTGAAAATTGATTATTTCAAAGTATAACGTGGAGAAATATCATCACATAAATAATAAATCGGAAATTTGACTGTTATTTCGTATTTAACAATACAAAATTGCCATATATTATTAACAGTATAAGATAACTGAAGATATAGCAAAAAATACAGATTATATATGTATAAATTATATATATTTTTATCGCTATTTTTGTTAATTCGCTACTATTCATGTATAAACTAACTTTTTTATTGTTATAACAAGTCGTCGTTGTAACACCGAATTGCCTCTAATGGCTATCAGATATTCAAATGTCTAATAAACTTAATAAACCATTATATAGATTGTAATTATTTAGCAAAACCAACAGTTTATCAGATGTTGTGTCTTAGTCTCGTAAGAATACCTTTGATACAATAGTGTTGCCGTAGTAACGGAACAATCGATTATATTTATAGGTAACAGAGCTATACAGTTTTATGTGAAAATTCCATAACTAAATTTATTACGATATAATTATAATTTAATTATAAGATTTGTGTAATTTTCGTTATTAGAAAATAATTTAGTCTGTCTTTCATTACTAGAACGGCATCAACATTACTGTCTACATCAGATTTCAGATAAGGTATTGCTGATAATGATGTATTCTAGTTGACTTGTTTAATTACATGGTGAATACATAAGATTATTCTGATAAAACCAGCAATTTAATTTCAGGATATGGATCTAATAATTACTAGTTTTGTATTCAGATAAGGTATTTAGCTATTGATTCATATTTTATCGCAATAATCTCACTTTGTTCCAACGTATGAACCCAGTAACTACTAAGAAATGTTAATTTTTTTAATTAAGTTGCTACTTCCTTTTAGTTTGTTTTGCTTATTATAGATTTCTACACATGGTCTGGGTATACTATGGGATTGATACTATGGGATTGTAGAATTTTTTCCCCCGAATATCATGGAAAAAGTTCTTTTCTTCATATTGTCACAATATCTCCATATTCACTGGATTTATGTATGACAATTGATGAAGATGTTAAAGTTTACGTGAGTTCACTGAGAAATTTATAGGAACGTTTTTCTCAGTTTACTGAAAAATTGAAGTTTTGGACTGACGTTTTTACAAAAATCCATTCATATGTAGTAACGAGGGCAGCACGTTTGAATCTGAAATTCAAGTTATTTGGTGTTAACAATGTCTTCAAAAGAGAAAATCATACACTTAGTAATTCATAGGTTCTGAAGAACGTTGTATTTAATATTTATTGCGAAAATTCATTGTTTTCATACAAGTATTCATTGGCATTTTACGCAAGTAGTGTCGTTATATCGATCGAGGTTTGATTACATACAAGGGGTGCAAAATTGTGTATAAAGTTGTTAAAAACATACAGGAAAAAACAGAAGGAAAAAGCATTTATTTTTATGCATAAATTAAATCATAAATAAGGAATAATAACTTAATAATAAACACCAAACATATGTATTTCTCAGATACACAACTGTATACTACTCTTGCACCTCTCATGTATAATTTTACTAAGGTTAAGATAAACTAGACAATAACTCATTGCGGAATGCAAAAATCATCTCTTAATGTTAATTATTTTAAAAGATGAAGATTAATAACGTGAAAATCGTGAAATTTCATGGGTTGAACTTTCTAAAATACCATAAATATGGCATAATATTATATAACACCACAATTATAGGATAAAGTACAGTTTATACGAAGAATTTATGCGTCATATCTTACCTTTCATATAAGGTAGGTCATATCCGTTTGACTAAGTCATAATTCTCGTTTCTAATGAAAAAAGAAAAAAAAAAAACTGGCTTGTAAATTTGAAAAAATGTTAATAATAACGGGCACAAGCAAAAGCATATATATACAGTAAATACAAGTAATTTTAATATATAAAAATATCGTGATTGTAAAGGTTCACACAAATTACGTGAGAAAAAAAAAATAATTAAAATATTTACACACATAAAAAATGAATTCTTATGTAATTTAAAATGAAGTTAGGTTATTTCACAATAAATTAAAGATAAATTTTTCTTATTGGCTATAATTGAGTGTGGATGATGAATTGGGTGAAGAGTTCAACGAATAAAAACTTTGGCCACAGTCTTGATGATGTCTAGAACGTTGATCATGCATCCGTCATATTGATTTGCACAATTGGCACTGCTTTGCCTTCCGTATCGAGCTGCCAGTTGGTATTTGGACACGACATTATTTGCATCATCCGTCTTTGTATATGGACTGCAAATAAATATCAGAATCAATGATATACTAATTGGAAAAATTATGGATAGAATCAATTTATGTACTTACGGGAATAACAGCTGTATTATTAATCCTATTAAACCATATTTCTTAGGTTGATTGTGAGCTTCACAGATGCTTCTTTTCATACATTCCTGAGGATCTAAACGTGGCAAACTTGGAAGATCGTCTAAAGAATTTTCCACTAAAGCCATTAAATATTCGGAAAGTCCGGCTAAACCGTTGCTGAAAATATTAGGTTTGGTGGTGTTACCTTTATTACTTCCCAGTGGATCCACTACTAAATTAGCAATACTCCTGAGCAGAATTAAAACGTCTTCACCCAAACCTTTCAATTTACTTCTGGAAACGTATCTTCTGCTCTGTCTCGTAGAAAATTCGTCTTCGTTCACTAAACTATTGTTATAGTAATACTGAGGATTGGCGCTTTGCATTTCTCTCAATAACAGTTCTACATCGCTTAAAAAACTATAATGTGGAGTGGTGGCAATATCGAATTCTCCGGCAGACACAGTTGCAACTACACAGACGAGGAGAATTATCAAATTAATCCCCATCTTCCAATCTGATTCGAAATGAATTACAACCTAAGAGAGCAAAACAAAGAACTATTAACGTTTTTCAAGTACGAAAACCGTTGTTAAAAAAATCAGGAAGTGACTCTTTAATCGATTCGTGGTGCGTAAAATGTGACTTACGACGGAATAATTTATGACGTCAGCGAAGATCATTAATTATATTCGCAATTAAAGATCTTCCGAATATAATTAATGATCTTCACTGTTATATTTTTTAATTAATAGATTCACTTTAGTATCAATTTATCTCGTCTCATCACCCGGAAATACGATAGAAAATAGTCGAAACATCTATAAATTACACTTAAATGTTGTGTAATAAGTTTAAAATCTTATCAGTTATATTTTATAAGTTATAAATTACAATTTCTATTAAGTAAAATGCATTTATACAACGATTTATCCGATTTTAAGACAAATTAAAAATACGCGCGTAGACGAATATCGCGTATAAAAATCAATTTAAATTAGAAAAAAAAGTTATAATATTAATGTAATAGTAGTTTTATAATCTATAGATTTAAATTAATCTATAATTAATTTTATAACGACGAGGAGTTAAGAATGTAGCGAAGAAGAACAGGTAAATGTTGAAATTTAAGTGATAATGAAGTTGCGAGTAAATGTTTAAGTAATTTAATTTAAAATTATATTTAATTAGGAGAATTTCGATTGAAATTTTCTTTAGATTTCTTTTATTTTCTTCTTCTTTTTCTCTATGTTAAAGGTATGAAGTGATTAAAAAAAGAAGAAGAGCAAAAGATACACTCTCACCTGAACAAAAGCTTTTTCCTCTCGTTTCAAACAGAACGGAAAATGCACGAAATATCCGCTTCCACGTAGTTTCTTTCAATATAAACTGGAACTTCTGACGACTTGAACTTCCTCAACCTAAACGACGAGGTCAATGCCCGCCCCGTTCAGGTAAAACTTTCCCGTCGGGTCAAGGTAGCGGCGAAAGAAACGGTGTCGTAATAGCCTGGTCTGAATGCGGAATTGACAGTTGTGTGACGTGAATTGTTTACTCTTTTTATATTTAGATTTTTCTTTTACCTTTACTTCCTCTTTTCATGGGCATGCTTCTACCATAAAGGTGAAAAATTCATTAATTAATTAAGTAAAACCTGTTTAAAACGGAATTGTAAAGTACCGAATGCATTTTCTGGTATTAAATGGGTGTTTTAAAATAGAAAAAATCGCTCCATTCTGAAGAATTTTTCCAGTTTACACAGGTTCCGTTTTGTACAGGTTTTTTTTTTTTTGTATAAATTTAAATATTTTATCCATTTATTTTTACACTCGATTCGCTCCATTTAATTGTATTTATTACATTATTTATTTATTTTATGCAGTAATAAAATAAAGAGAAAACAGGAAGCGAAATTACATTCTAAACAATTGAGTTTCTAATATAATACTATAAACAAATTATGCAATTAACCTTAATTTAATGTTAAACAAATAATTTTACGTACTTAAAACCTTTAGTTTTAATGAGTTAATTATATAAATTATTTAAAAAAAAAAAAAAAACCTCTTGATTACCTCTCGAGGAAGAACTCTTTAATCTATAAATATGTGACTTAGTCTAACCTTAAATTATCTTTAAATAAATTGAAAATATAATTAATTTTACACACAGAGATCAATTATGTAGAAAAAAAAATATATAAATATTGCTTAATGCACAATTGAGGGAAATTATTGCATCATTTCGGGGGGATTATTTAGTGTAGACTTTGCATTGTTGAAATGTAGTAGCAAATTCCAACGTTTACTGTCAAATGTTATAATATTTCTGTTTATATTATATTTTATTTTTTTACCCACTCGAATTACAAGCAGAAGCTTAGAAAAAAAATGGGCGAATATTCGAATTATATCACTTTAAATAATGGGTTAAATATGCCTCTCATAGGACTTGGGACGTTTCAGGTAAGATTTTTGGATATAAAATTTAAATAAATATAATATAAAATTAATTTAATTAGTTAAATACCCTTAAAGAATATTAATTTTAATGAATAGAAACAAAAAGTTCGTTTGTTTGTCTATCCGTTTGATCTTTCTTAATCTCGAGAACGGAGTTAGATAGACGAAAATAGGAACCACAACCCGGTTAATTACATAAAAATCCTTATTTTTTCAGGAATTGTATGTTCCTATTAAGAAATTAATGTTTCTTTTAAAACATAATTAAATTTAAATATAGAAATAGAGGAAGAAATCTATAGAAAAATATTGAAATTTTTGTTTTCAGTCGAACAGATCTGCTATGGAAACAGCCTTGAAAATCGGATATCGATTAATTGATACTGCTTTTATATACCAGAACGAAAAGGAAATTGGAGAAGCTCTAAAACACTCGTTTGACACAAATGTGGTCAGGAGGGAGGACGTCTTCATCGTTTCTAAAGTAAGTACAGTAATCTCTGTAATACGACAAACGACTGTTGTATTAATGGATTTTGTATGTATGTATGTATGTATCATACAGTAAAAAACGCACATGTTAGTTTATTGTATTAATAATCACAATTAAAAAAGGCTAAATTATTTACACGTGTAGTATGCATATCATGCTTATATTATATGAAAGTTTNAAATATGTATGTAGTGATATTTTTTTGCCAGTTGTTTCTTTTGTGAGCTGGAATAAGTTTTTCGTTTTGTGTTCTTTATTTTAACTGTGTGCGTGCTTAGTTGTAGGTAAAATACTTGTTGCCTATTACTGATTAACTTTGTATTTTTGTAATCGTGAGGGCTAGTAAAAAAGAGAAAAATTTGAGAAGAAAATCTGATCCATATGTCATAAGCAAATGGTTTTCTTAAATAGAAGAAACAGATATAACCAAAGATGTTGAGAAAGCTGCAGAAGATAATTTCAAATTTAGTGTTTGTGATTTACAAAGTGAACAAAACAAATCAAGATGAGAAGGAAGAAAAAAATGAAGAGGATGTCATGCCATCTTTGAATAATTTTATTGGAAAAGATGAACAGACGAGATGGAATAAGGAAAACGGCATGTAAATGCTCTTGTGAATTCTCACGACATTGTTTTACATTTACCCAGATCAAAAACAGTGCAAAAGGTATAGTCAATGCAATTGACCATTTGTCTTTTTATAAATGGTTCTGTTATAAAGTTAACAATGAAAAATACAAACATTTACGTTGAAGTAATAGAATTAAATTTTGGACGTGACAGAGATGCAAGACTAACAGACAAATCTGAAATTAGGGCCATTATTGGAATTTTTTTTCTTATTGGAACTCTTGGAGGTTCAAAAAAAATTGTTGGAAAATATGGGATAATTCAAATGATTCGGGCATTGAAACGTGCTTTTTATTAATGAGTCTTAAAAGGTTTAGATTTCTATCAAGATGTTTGAGGTTTGATAATGTGAGAGATAAGAATGGAAGGAAATTATTGGATAAGTTGGCTGCTTTTAGAGAGCTATTTGACAAAATAGTGCAACTTTAAAAAATGTTTTATTCAAAGTGAATATATTATGGTAGATGATCAACTTGTTGGTACGATGCACAAAAAAATTTTCCTGGAATTTTTGCCAAATAAAGAGAAATACATTACTCTTCACTATTTGGATATGAAAAGGATATTAGTGTAATACTGCCCTAAATGTGCAAAGACAGTTTTACATAAGAAGTAAAATATATTTGAGTAGAAATTAAATTAAAATTAATAAACATTTATTTGAATAATGGCTATCGATATCCTTTAGAAAAAATCATTTGCTTTTCTGGCAGTTCCTATGGAAATGTTAATAACAATTAGTATAAATTTAAATCTCTCTTAATTTCATGTTAAAAGCTTTAGATATATAGATTTATATAAATATAATTTTAAAATAATGCTTTTTTTTTTTAAACAGAATATAATGAAAACTGCTCACGCTAATTTGAAAAGATAATAATATATGTTTAACGTTAAATCTTTCGAATTTTTTGGCGGTATTTTGGCTAGATGGGAAACTTCTGCGGAGAAGTTGGCAGTCGTTTCGCGTAATCGAGGCGTGTGAGTTGATTTAGGCCTAACGTTCGAATTAGAAGAGAAGTTTGCGAAGTTATGGCTCAACCTCCGACAGTTGTACCTTTGCAGACTGTTTTACCTCAACAAATGACACCTCAGCAACAGCAACAACAGCAGCAGCAGCAGCAATGTCAAATGCAGTCGGCGGAATTAAAGTACGATAATGTGGCTAAAGTGAAATCTTTGACATGGAGTTTGAAGGAATTGCTTGTTGTGAGTATTGTTCTTAAACACACCTGACGTATTTTTGAATTGTACTCGATTAATGTAGAAAAGATAGTATGGTTAAAGTCCAGATACGTAGACTGTCATGGCGGCTCATCTCTGATTCCAACAAACAAAAGAAAGGAAACAGTGGGGATGCACGTTCTAACCTAACCTAACCTAACCTATTCTAATAAATTACCATAATTATTATCAATTAAATTATTAGAATAGGTTAGGTTAGGTTAGGTTAGAACGTGTGTCCCCACTGTTTGCTGGAATCAGAGATGAGCCGCCATGACAGTCTACGTATCTGGACTTTAACCAATCGTATTTTTAAAATTGGCTTAATTAAAGCTCTGAATGAGACGTTTGAATCTTATCAAAGCTGTAGACCATACTTATAGTGGCAATAAAGTCACAGGAACAATACCTTTATAAGTGACCTGCCTCCAAAGGTTAGCTTTTACCGTGTATTAGCATACTGTCTATTCTCCGTGTTCTGTGTTGGTCAAGGCTAGTTATTGCTTGTCTTCACTGACACTCCGTACGTAGTCGTGCACTCTCCTAAAACTATATAACAAGTACTGCGTAAACAGTCGAGTGGGCTATTCAATGCCAGCACGGTCGCCCGGGCTAAATAGTTAAAGGCGATAGTCTTGGTGGAGTGATGCCGTCTGATTTTGGAGGTCGTATCTGGCTAAAGGTCGCATGTAGAGGTTTGGTTTCTTCGACTGTTTTACTCCTGTGAGTGTGGTCTACATTTTGAGGTGTAATTGTACCTAAAGGATGTGTCGAATAACTGTAAATTACAAAATGTTATGTCTAATGTTAATATTTTATCAATGTTTCTANTTTACTATGAATAAGTTATCACCATACTTAATCAAGTAGAAGTTGTCAAATGGCTACATAAACATTGTTTAAAGATCAAATGTATGAATAGGGTCATAAACTATATGATTTTGAAATAGCAGCTAAATTGTATTTGAAGTGAATTAATATTTTATAACTAGGATCTTAACTGCTTTAAACTATACTTTTGTTTCAAGTACATCTTTTAATAAATGTAGTTAATTTTTAAATAAAATAATTTAAAACTTAATATTTTAGTTAATAAGCTAATTCTTTCTCTACTGAAAGGTCTATTTATCTACCTAAGGGATGAAGATATTCACAAATGTTGTAACACAACAGTAATACTAAAGATTTTTTAATGAAAACAAAGAATTTGGTAATTCAAATGCATTCTTTTGATGAAAGCTTGTATTACAAAATTGAAATAAATGTTGTTATCTAAGAAGATAAGAATAAAAGGCAAGAATTTGCTGGGTTGCATATAATGACAGATGTTGAAGTTTAAAAGTAGCTCTTACCCAACCGTTCACTAAATGAACCTACCTAACAGAGATATCATGAATAATAAGTTTATAGATACATAGCCAAACAATGACCTTAAATACTCGGGCTATAAATCCGTTATTTTTAATAATTAATACTCAGTAATTTGCTACTAGAGGTAGATGTTAAGTGCCATCTCTTATGTAAATAAATAATTATAATTTAAATAATTTATTCAATAATGTAGAATCATCTAGAAGGAAAGAACTGGCCCAGGGTGGGACTTGAACCTGCAATCTTATTTAATAAATGGTCAGGACTGGTTTATTATAATTATTTAGATAGGTCTATAACTGCCGTAGGCACTCTGCCCTGGCCCCCAAACATATATAATCCAGTCCATAGTCATTTTCAAAATATATATAGTAAATAGCCTGCAGAATAATATATAATCATATAATTGGGGGTATTGTAACTTTTTATTATTTACCAGATTTGTGTGTGTTGTCCAATGTACTATTATTTTGTATGTCCCTCTTTTTGGCCATTTTTGCTGTATTTTTCAATTAACTGGTTGATCATAATTGACTTCTTAATCAGGCTGGCTATAAGTCATAAAAACCTAGAAATTTGGCATTCATACGTGCAACTTAACATTTTATTTGCTTGCCATTTAAATAGATTGCCCACCCCTAGTCTGAAATATTGTAGACCTATCTCTGAATAATCGTATAAAATTAAAAAGTCAAGTAATTTAAGGATATATAATTAAATTATCAGATTCTTTTTGTTGTTTCTGATTTACTAAGTAGTATTATATGTAGTGTATACATGCATTGAATAGGATAAATAATAAACATATTTTAAGTTTTCTGTTATGATATATGTATCGCTCGTAGTATAGAGGTATTTTAAGTCATAGTAATAATTATAATCAGTGTGGTGGAATCAGTAAACAAATGGTCCGACTTCAGCTATGACCTTTCTCTTTTTTAAAAAGTCACACTATGATTCATTGTATAAGAAAGATGCCATTATGTATCAGAATATTTTAGTCTAAAATTTCTCTATAGAAAGTTGTACTAAAATTTATGGTGAGAATCAAAAAATAGATATAACAAATTTACCTTGAAAAACTTTCCAGTACGGAAAGAAATATAATGCATCTTATCGGCCAAAAGAATTCCACTTTTATTAGTTAATTATCAAAAATTGATTTAAATTTAAACATTTTAAAGAAACAAGTTAAATATGATAAAATACATTTTAAGACCAAATAATATTATAGAAGTAATAATAATCTATGACTATTTATTATTGCTTCCAACCAGGGAAAAACTAATTAGTCAAATTAGTCAGAAAACAATTGATATCCAAAGGATGTAAAAAATATTCTGACGAGTAAAAATTATGGCACTCAAAATAAAAGTCAAATATTTTTTTGGGAGTTTCTCTTTGGTGAAGATAAGCATGGTACTTTGAAGCTATATTGTAAGCTTTTTATCATTGTCTCTGCACTTTGCTTTCTTGCTTTAGTAACATGGAGCTTTAGAGAACCAGTTTGAAAGACATTCTTTGTTTTTCTCATGCATTGAAATCTGGCCAGATAATTGAATGATAGCATTCCAGACTGTCACTGTAAGAGATCCAGGATCAAACCCTGCTGAAAATTACTGCAAAAGATTTTCCGGGTAGAATCCATTGGTGCATCATTTTCCATCCTACACCATGAACCATGGCTAAGCAGATTTGATTCTGCAATACTTGTATTTAGCTCAGGTTTGCACTTGGGCTGATGGACTGATTCATGAAGTTTTCTGGGTTTTGTTCATGTTGATAACACCCAAATAGGGGCCAGTTTCTGTTTAAAAAAACATCTCGGAAGGCACATTTTCCGATTGCAGATTGCCTTTGTGTTGCATACCATATCTAAAACCAATCAATCAATACATTCATACATTGAAAAAATCATTTGCTTTTTGAGTGGCTCATACACTACTCAGTTTCAATTTTTTTTTGCATAGCATATGAACTACACAAAAATAATTAAAAAATATATAAAGCTTAAGATAGCTTTTTACAAATGCAAACTCAGTCAAGTATTACATAATGTTAAGTAATTTTTGGTTGGTTAATACAAGATACAGAGGGTAGTGCTCTCAAGGCAATGTGAATATATTCATTTAAATTAAAAAAAAGGCTATTTTCTGAAAGTTTAGAGCATGTCGCATACAATATGCATAAAATTTTGTGCAAATGTCCTTTATAGACGAATATCATTTTGATATCTAAATTTATCAAACTGTCTATTTTCTAAGAGATTTCTTTGGAAGCTAATTAAAAGTATTTTTCATATTTCATATTTTATCAATACGAAAATTTGAGGTCAGAATTGCTGGTGTCAGAAGAATTTTACCAATTCTGACTCCACAACACTGATTATAATAATAATACCTTTGATATGTAAAGTTACACAGAAAAATCTCTTTTAAATTAGAACATTAGCAATATATAATAAATTTTTGCCTGATATAATGTATATTTTTATTAATTTTATTGTAGTTATTTCTATTTTATACTTTCTCAACACTAATTTTAACAAGGCATGAATAAATTTATATAATTTAAAAAGTTTTTAAATGTAATTCAGTCATAATAATTTATACTTATATTTATGTATTTTATATGTGAATAAAGTGTGAACAATTTAAGCTGAGACACTGGAATGTTCCAGAAACAAAGCATAAAAGACAAAAATGTTGTAAACAATGGCCTTTTGGTTGCTAAAGGAAACTGTATTATTGATTTTGAATTTGATAGACGTGATCAAAATTGATTGAAAGCCGTCATGATTTTGTAAATGACACCCGTAATTGCTTGTAATGGCATCTTTATGTAAAAAAGATGTCTTTTCTCAAGAACACTTCAATTCACTTTTAAATGTTAATTCAGAATGTTGCAATTTATCTCTGCATTTAATGTGCCATCAATAAAAAATGACACTATTACTTTGTTACCAATAATTCTACACCAGACATTACCAGTCCAAAATGTTAGTGTTTTACTTCGCATAACCATTGTGAATTTTTGACAGATTATTGTTATGATTAACTTTGTGATTTGAAAAACTATCTTCTTGGAAAACAGTACGTTGAAGAAAAGTTACTGTTAATTTGTAACTGTCCATCAACAAAACCCCATTCAATGTTCAAAATCATTTCCAAATCAGGAGCTTCATTCCTGATGCAATTATATAGGATACTTGTGAAGTTTATGATGCCACCTTATTCTAAAAACACTACTATGAGATATTCCAGAATCATGGGAAATTTGTCATAAAGTTATTTGCTAATTGTTGGTAACCTTCACTGACACTAAAACTTCATTATTTCTACTGTGTTTCAGCACTTTACTTTTTTGTTTGCACACTTCCATTATCTGAAAACTGATAACGCAATAAATTGATGCACATAATGGAGTAGTTTTCTCAGGGAATTGTTGCACATACAGTCAAATTGCTTCATTGAAGTTTCGTTCAGATTTACTATATATGAAAATCTCTTCAACTCTTCTGCACCTGTTAGGTAATCCATCTTTATCTCTCACTAAAATCACACACACACACACACACACACTACATGCTGACAAGACAAATATAAAATATCTAATTGAATTAAATATATCGGTATTTTCTTTTTAAACTTAGTTTAATTTCACATTTTTAAATTCATGCTTCAGCAAACTAACTTGAATGTTTAACTTGAATGTCATAAAGCTTTGTTTTTTGTTTTGATGTTGGTTTACCTAACAATTGCCCCCAAAAACTTATAATTTACAATAACTGTAAAAATGGAAATAAAATGAAAAAGTTTTCCTGACAAAATTCGTTTGTTTTTTTCCATAAAGTAAGATGCCATTACAAACAGTTATGGTTGTTATTTACAAAATCAAGATGATCTTCAACCAATCTTGAACATGTCTACCATATTCAAAATCAGTAATGCAGTTTCCTTTCTCCTTCACAATCAAACAGCCATTGTTTAGAATATTTTCAGCTGAATGTTTTATTTCTGGGACATTCCAGTATCTCAATTTAAATGGTTCACCATGTATAGAATATATATATAATTTTTTCTTTTTTTTTTAGAAAATAGTTCAGGAATGCACACTTTTGCAGAGAGATAGTCAACAATATCTACCTCTTCCTGTATCATCTAATAAAATTGATACAGCTCCTGCACCCACTCAAGATGGAACTTTATCGTACAGTCAGTATCTGAGTACCATTAAAAGCCAAGTGAGCTTTGCAACTGCCGTGCAAGAGATATTAGCAGAAGGTGCCAGAAAAATTACACAAGGAGACTGAGATTTTATTTTAAAACTGTGTACATACTACATAAATCCAGATATAAGTATGGGTTAAGAGTGTACTTGTATTGAAATGTATTTTTGTGAAATGCAAGAATTATTATTTATTAGTAAAATACAAAAGTGAATTTTAAATTTTGCATTTTATTTCATAAATTATTATAATTATTTGATTTACTAACAATAAATAACAGAAAATATAAGTTATGGAAATTCTCTTTAATGCTAAACCTTATTATTAACATAAAATTTATAATTTTAATACAGTCAAGTTTGCTAGAGAGACCATCTCGGGTTTGCTGCACTACGCTCCTTTATCCGGATTGCTCCCTTAGCCAAAGCGAGAAGATCACCCAGGAAATTGTTAATACTATTTGATAGTTAATTAATTACTAATAAATAAATATGAACCTGCTGTTACAGTACAGTATAAGAACAAATACAAAGGGTGCGACTATGCAGATGCGAACTTAGAGCGAGCGATTTAGTTTTCGCAAAGGAAAATCGTGCACAAACGAGAAGCGAGAAATAACACTAGCGAGAGCGAATTTCTGGTTCTCGCACATATCTGACAGGTTTTAACATTTATCGCGTCTCGCCTCTTCTCGCCACATATTCTCACTTGCTCGGAAAATTCGTTCGCTCGCGTCTGCATAGTCGCACCCAAAAAGATGCAATTTGTACTATTTCTTGGTCATTTCTCATGCATCCAATAACATGTTTATTATGATTTCACAATATATCTTTAACTGTCCACTTATTAGAAAAGTGTTTCATCAAATGTAAACAAATACTATAGTATAAAAAACCCCATTGTCACATGCCCATGTACCATAAGGTACATGGGCATGTGACAATGTATGGTACAATGACCTTATGGTACATGGGCATGTGACCCTTGAATCTTAAGTTGGATTTTTTCTTTAAGATTTAAATATAAATCTACTTTGATTCTTAAAATTACTCTGAAGTAATTTGTAGTTATAAGTTAAGTAATAGTAAAATTATTAATCTCATATTTCAAATTTTCTGTTTAGTTTAATGTTGTCAATTATATTTTTTCCAACAATGTTTCCATCATCTGTTTAATCCAAGAAGAATAGCAGTGATGATTGATATCAATTTCTCTGGTGGTGGTGTCAAAAATTGCTTATAACTTCTTATGAAGAAATGTTCGATAATTGATCTAAAGGTGTTTCAATGCAAACAGTGTGAGGAGACAAAATTCGTAAAAATCTGAAGTTAATTAAAGTCGACGGCGTGTGAGAATTTAAGTTTTACGCGTATGGTCTTTGATTGGGAATGTGATGCCCATCTTCAGACAGGTAAAAATGGTCAAAACGGTACATCTTAGTAGTTTTAAAACTACAATATTGGAGAAACTGATCTTGAAACAAGTCTTGCACTTGTCCAAGTATTTTTTAGCTTCGTTCATCATCAATGGCGAATAATAAAATTCAAAGTCCATAGACTTGAAAAACTTTCCAAACTTCATCCAATTTGAAAACGTTATAACAAACTTTAATCGTAAATCGAGCACCACTTTCTAGCCATTTCTTTCTTTAAAAATACTTCTAAACCGATTCAATTCCAAACGAAATTCTCCTAGTGGCGTACCGTGGGTGTCAGCCGCCCGGGGCGGAGGAAAATTTCGGCCCCCCTTATTTAGCTATTTTAATTTAAAAGACCAAAATTCAGTTTTGTCACAGAACAAGCAATGAAAAATTCGATGGTAGTGCAGCGACCTGTTCAAAATAGTTTTATTGGACGGCGAGCCGATTCCCTGACTGTCCGGACGATAGCACTATCATAGGCGCGATGCAAGTATAGATTAGGATGTTCCAAATTTTTACAAGATATTATTATTATTTATTGTGAAAATTTGCCGCCCCCACTACGGTACGCCACTGAATTCTCCTTTTATCCCTCTTCCTCTCCCGAATCTTTTAAATCCTCGTATTGTTTCCTCTCGCTTCTCTGATCGTGCTACCCATTTCCAACCGCCTACAACACTTTGCCATCTTAAAGGTTAACTACATTAGAGTCTCAGTCCTTTTTTTCTCCCTTTCTTCCGGTACTCCTCCTGAAGACTGATTTCCGAGTTGTTGAGAACCGGAGATCGTATTCGGGCGAGCAATCTGTCTCGTTGTGGGACTGGCCGAATCCATAATGGGTACAGAAAAGGGCCCTCTTACTGCCCGTAACCTGTATCCCTGAACACCTTCGCCAATCCGTATCTCTGAAAAGTTCACTTCCTCGTCCGAGTCCGTTAAAGCGTTAGGCCGATGTCTTAACCACTCGGGCAGCCCCCGTCTTAAATTTTGTGTATGAAATATGGCTTCATTAAAGTTCAGATTTTAATATTTTAAAAAATTTTCAAGAAGAATAAAAAATATGATGACGAAAAATTAAGCTGACGGTCTATTAATTAAGACGTATGTTAAGAGTTGCCAGATGTCTCGGTTTTCCGGGATTGTCCTGGATTTTTTCCTATTGCCATCTCGTGATGGACTTTATTCTAAAAACTGTTCCTACGACGAACTATCTTTGTGAAAAAACTGCCTATCCTTCATATTCTGAAATCGAAGTATCCCAATTTCTTTCGAGAACTCATTTTATTCCGGATGTTATTCCAAAATACCTGGCAACCCTAGGGGGATACTACGTCAGATATGGAACTTTTCTGCCATAACGAACATTTTTTATTGTTCTAGAAAATGTTTTAAAAAATAAATAATTAATATTAATCATTTAAATTTCAATTATAAAAAATAATAAAATTAAATGATTAATTAAGAAGATGGATAGAAATTGTAGGTGGCGACGAAATCACACATCACGTGGCGTAACGTCCGTTCAATGGTGTAGTTGTGATAATTGTAGTTTACGTCTTTTAAGTGCTACTTACGTTGACAGAAAAACATTCATAAGTACTTACAAGTTCTCTACCAGTTTTTGCTGTTAAATGAAAACTGTTTTATAAATATTAATCAATTTCACTATCTGTATTTGAAAACGTCAAGATATTTTCCTTGAACTTTATTATTATGTTGACATTCCTTTGAATATATTTTAAATTTCTTGAAAGATTCGACCGTCAGGAAAAGTTGATATAAGTTATGAACAAGTTTATGTTATAATTTAATGTAAAATCAAGATCTTTCATCAAAATGTAGTTCTTACCTGTGATATTAGAATTACAAATGATCAGTTTATATTCTCCACGTGTGCTTTTGTGTCTGTGAATGCTTCTGGAAACATAAAGTAGAGGTTCAAGGTAACACTGAAAAATGCTGGCCTCTGCGCATCTGTTATTACTTCGGTGTCCGAAGACGAACATCCCGCCGTATTTTTCCTTCGGAATCAAAAATAAGTTATCGAGAACCTATTCGTGCGGTAGAAACTCCACCGTCTCGTCGTCTAAAGGTCGACGGATCGGTTGTCTACCCGTAAAACATTCCATTCTGAGATTATGTAGATCGAATAATATTTTATGCGTGAGAAGTTGCCCGTTGTCCACTAGTCGAAAGCTTCCTAATCTACATGTCGGTAGGATTTTACAACTTGCAAAACCAGAAAAATGGAAGTTATCTAGTAAGTTTATGGTGTGCGTAAATGGCATTTTATATCAGATGACAAATTTTGACCTTTTACCGATTTTGCAACGACTTGTTTGAAAGTTTAAAAGGAATTAAAATTCAATAATTGTTTAAAATAAAATTGATTTATCTTTTAAAATTTATCAATATTAAACTTAAGTTTTTCAATTAGAAAATTTATTTTCAAAAAATAATGTTTTTTGTTCAACTTTTTCAACTTTCTGCTAATATATAATATTGAGATTTATGGTATAATTTGAAAATCAGCTCTTCATAATAATTGTTTCCAATTATTATTAACAGCCTTTCATCATCATCATGCTTAATAAAAGACAAAACAATATTAATTTTTTGGTTATCATCAATCATCATATTATACGTTAATATTATTTTGAAAATATTTAATGTATAATAAATAGAATTAACAGAAATAGTAGTTTGTGGACCCTCTCTGACATAAAAAAATTGACTTTAAAAGTTGTGCAAGTATTTTCTGACAGTTTATTCACTACACTAGTGAGTAGGCTTATAAGAACAAACTTACTGTATATTCCACATAGACAATGCTTTCCTATTGCCATCTTGTGACAGGACTTTTACTCTAAAAACTGTCCCTACAACGAACTATCTTGTGAAAAAACTGCCCATCCTTCATATTCTGAAATCGAAGCATCCCAATATCTTTCGAGAATTAATTTTATTCCGGAAATTATTCCAAAATACCTGGCAACCCTAGGCAGATACTCCTCTTTCTCCATTGTGTACCATGATAGTTTTATTCCTATACGGCAACATGACTTATGGGCAATCTGACTAGGAAGGGAATGCCTCTCGGGAGAAACCTTTCACTATTTAGGTTTTACAAATGTGAAGAAAACCTGGAAAACTCCACATGGAAAGCCATTGGCAAGGTACAAATTCACAACCAACTATCAATGTTTACTGGTTTTATCAACTTGGCCACTGGTGGGCATACAATGATACACTTTTCACAATTTCCCTTCTGTACACATAGTTATGGAGACTTTTTAATGGATTATAATATAATTTTAACTTTTATCTTATTGGCATTAAGTTGGCATATTATTGTACCAGTCGTAGGTTTGGCCATGTCCACAATAGTGTTTGACAATGATGGTAATTTTAGGCCAATATAATTCAAATTGCTCTTGAAAACTTGAAGCTTTGGTTCAGATTTAATCTTTAAAGCAGCAGGTATATGCCATTACTACCAAAACACTAGTTGAAGCAGTAATGGCACAAACTGTTTGTAAGTTACAATACAGTTTATTTATTATGCATGATAACGTTTATAGAATTAAACTTTAATCTTAATGTTATAAATTCGTTTTAGATTTGTATTATTTCTACAAATATGTATTTATTTATTGCAGTTGCCATCGTGTTGTTACTGATTTCGAGTACCGTGACACTTGCGGTCCCTTACTGTTTGGGTCAGGTGATCAACATAATATACAATATGCCGAAAGACGAAGTGAAGTCCAAGCTGACGAAAGTCTGTCAGTTCTTGATATTACTTTTTATCATTGGTGGTCTTGCTAATTTTGGACGTGTCTATTTGATCAATTTGACAGGTATTCTTCAATTGTTTAAATTATATTAAATATTTCTTTAAATATATTTTTTGTTTTGAAATTTAGTAAATCTTTTAATTTTTGATTATTTGTTGCATATTTAAGCAAAGAAAAATATAGTTAAATAAGAAAATAGAAGAAAAAACTAAAATGAAAGATTATCATCATCCTTAAAATAAAGTTTAAACTGCTTTCTTCTTTCTACTTTAGGACAGAAAATAGTTAACAGAGTTCGAACAATGGTTTTTAGTTCTATCATGAAGCAAGAAATTTCTTTCTTTGATGTCAACAAAACTGGAGAATTAATAAATAGGCTGTCGTCCGACTCGATGGTGGTCGGACATTCCTTGACGCAGAATATTTCTGATGGGTTGAGATCGGCATTTGCAATACTATCGGGAGTCGGAATGATGGTACGTACATAATTAATTTTTTAATATTGTAATATATATAAATACAATATGATAAATTGTTTCAGGTGTATGTTTCTCCAGAACTGTCTCTTGTTGGACTGGTAATTGTTCCGCCAGTTGCCATCATTGCCGTTATCTACGGTCGATATTTACGATACATAAGTCAATCTCTGCAAGACTCCCTAGCAAGTGCTGCCCAGGTAAATTTCATATAATCGTCTCTAATATTAATAGAATAATTAAATCTTTACCTGCATTACTACATCCAATTAATAAACTCCAAATATCATTAAAATGCAGTCTATTTTAAAAATCATTGTAGCAAGGCTCATGACACACCTAAAGAGCTTGAATACATCGCAAAGCTAGAAAGAGATGTAGGGCTTAAGCAAAGTAAAGTAAAAGCCTTAATACAAGAAGCAGAAAAAGGAGGCAATAAGACTAAAGATAAAAAAGAGAAAAAGGAGTTCACCATAATGGAATACAGGGCATCGTTAAGAAACATATACAGAAAAATAGGAATAGAGAGCAACAAGAAAATAGCATATAAGAGAAACACAACAATATTCCAAATGCTAAGAAATGACAAAACACCTGTAGACAGGAGGCTAGTTCCAGGTTGTACAGTATACTGTTGCATTATAAGAGGCTAAAAAAGGAGCTATATTATATAGGAGCCACAAAGACATCATTAAATGAAACATTGAAGAAGCACGAAAAGAATATAAGATTTAAACAGCCAGTCACGGCTTTGGCTAATTATGCGATCGTGGATCCAACAGAGATTGCAATCGAATGGAGCAAGGCCAATGTTATACAAAAAGTTGAAAATAGAAGACATCAAAGTATGCAGAGGCCGGGCACATCTATAAGTACAGGGAAGAATATAAATTTTCGAGAATCAAACAAAATAGCATCAGCATGGAAAGCGGCAGCGTTACAATTATAAAGAACAAATGGACTTGCGCATTCGAATCTGAGAAGACCGTACATTTTGGAATTTCTGTTTGGCAAATTTAATTCTGTTAGTTTGATCCTGAAGAAGGTCTGTTAATTTGACCGAAAACATTAGATAAGTTTTTTAAAATAGACTGCATTTTAAAGGTATTTGGAGTTTATTAATAGAATAATGTACTGTTAACTGAAAAAATACATTATAACTCTACAGATCATAGAGTTAATTGATAAATAAAGTCTTCATGTTGATAAAATTAATTTGGAAAGAGGTAGAATAATATAACCAGCTTTAAAAATTAGAAAAAAATTATTTATTTTAATTAGAAATATTCATTTTTTAATATAATTATCATTTAAGATAATGCATTTTTTCAGACATCCAAGCCATTTTTGCATTCTGTATATGGAAAAATTTCCTAATTCTTTCTTGATTTATTTTTGTATGACAATTTGAACTTTAATATTTAGTGTAAAGTATTAACTTATCTACACCAATCTTAATTTTGGGAACTAGCAGAAATCTCATGGTGCCAGATTTACACTATAACAAGGATACAGAATAATGAGTTTTTATGTATCTTTGCTGTTTTCTTACAGTGTAACCTTCCATTGTTATTATGCAAGAAGAGTTTTCTGGTCTTCATGAATGTCTCTTGAGTGCTTGTAAGGTTTGAATTTCAAGAGGTGTGCAACCTCCCAATGTTAAAAATTCAATTACTGGTTGTTCTTTCTGTAGAACAAGGACAATGAGTTCATGTTTAAACTCAACTTTTATACAATAAACTGATATAGATTAGACACTAGTGGTGATGGTCACAGATATCTGTCGCAGTACACTGCAGTAGGAGACTTCTTTTATCGATCAACCCTTTTAGATAAATTTTTAAATGAATATAAATATTAAACACATAAATTTATATTATATATTTTAAGGTTTCGGAAGAAAGCATCACAAATATTCGAACGGTGAGGTCGTTTGCACGGGAAAAACAAATGTACGACGATTATGCCAGCAAAATTTCATTCGTCATGAAATTAGCGAGGAAAGAGTCTCTGGCAAGAGGAATATTTTATGGTTCAGTAAGTTATTTGATATTGGAAAAACAGTTTAATTTTTTTATTATTTGAAAATGATTATATTTTTTATAATTTATATGAATGATAAATTCATTGAAAATACATGCAAAAATTTTTTATTAAGTTCAAATTTTAATTATTTTTTAAATTTGTAATATTTTAGGAAGTTTTTATATGTTAAATTCACTGTATATATAGATTATTAGATTATATATGTGAGAACCGGGGACTCAGGGATACCCCGTTCCACACTCAGGACGGTAATGTAAAATAAAAGAAAGATTGGGGAAATCTTCCTCAAGAATCCAGACACCAGTTGGGGTAAATTCAATTGTGTTCTTCTGAGTTAGTTCCTTTCCGAGTGGAAACAGTGTATTTAAAACTTGATCGGAATTTTAGGAGGGTTTGAATTGAATTGCTGATAACATAGGATATACGAATTTCGTGGATTGTAGACTGACAATGGAATTAGGCAGTAATGAATTAAAGGTGATAATTAAAAGATAAATTTATTAATAAGGGATGACCAAAGTTGTTATACAAATGTTAATCATATAAAAATCTGGTATTATAACAAAAGTAAACCTCAAAATTATAAATGATCCCAAAGAAGATAAAAATAATGACAATTTATTCCCTACTGCTTTTCTATAAGAGAGTGAGTTTACATATCAAAATTATATTACCTGCGGTTCAGTCATATCTGATGTGGAGAGTTGAGGGTTCTTGGGAACGAGTAAAAGTAGAGAACTGGGACAGGGACAAGAGCATTGGCATGAGCCTTAGCAAGAGCGCGAGTGTGTTTGAAGGTGACTGCTCACCTTTTATGCTAAAATTCCATCCAATAGATTATTAGAAAATTCCACCATGCTTCTGTTGTATGATGGAAGTCATGCAGTTTCGCTGATATAGAGTGAGACATCCACTTGAACTATCATTTTTGGAGGAACTAAGCTGTTTTCCCCTCCGTGAGAAACAGGAAGTTTCCCTTTTAACTTTATTGAACTTTGTGATAGATAAATTTCTATTGAAAATACATAACAAATATTTGTTACTTAAATTATCAATTTAAATGATTAATCTCCAGATTCTCACATATATGTAAAGCAATATAAGCATTTTCAGCTTTTTAAATGTCCTCATCATAAGTTTTATATACTTTTTCCGTTTTTGCACAACCTTACAGCATTTCTTTTCGTAAATGCAGTAAAGTCTTGGATGTTCACACAATCTTTTGAGTTGATACAAAGTCTCTAGACTTTTCTAAAGTTTTATAGTCTAATATTTATTTCAAAAACAAAAATAGTTTATCCAAGAAAATAATTGCCATTACATTCAAGCAGTTCCATCGATTGGGCAGGTCACGGATTCCTGCCGAATAAAACTCGGGGCAATTTTAACTCAAAGAACTCTGCAAGTGTGATTTTCATCTAATTATCAGTGAACTGCTGAAGTGTTGCATGCAGCTGAATGGTAGTTGGATGATAAATGTTTGAGCTATATAAGGGTGAGGGCTGACATCAATTAGTCTCTGCCAAATCAAGCTTGAAACATGGTTTGTATTCAGATTTTGAGAGATCCAAACATTGATCTTGCAGATCTTTCCAATGGCAGGTAAGTTAAAATCTATGATAGACTGGCCACAACCGAGTGTGTTGCTTGTTTCTTGCATGGTCAGGCATGGTTCGGCTTCCATTGGTTGCTACAGCTCATTGTCCAAGAGGACGGAAGGTCTTCCCGAGTTTGGCTTATCTTCGACTTCATATTGTCTAGCTTTAAATTTATTGAACCAATCATAGAGTGTAAACTTAAAGATGAAATAAGTATAAATGATTTCAAAGGTTGATCAGGATGCTTTCTTTATGTGAATGTAGTATTTAGGGTGGCAACAGAGATCCTTTTACTTTTTTTGGCCACCAAACCATCTTATTTATTATTTTAAAAAGTATATTGAATTTTATTTCTCCTTTTTTTTCTTCCCCACTGCAATAATCTGTCATTATTTTACAAGCATTATGTTTCTACTATCACTGTTGTAAGATGAAACAGATTATTGAATAACCAAACATTAGATTACGAGGGTTGTACTACATCTTCAAATTATATAGAAGATAATTTTGAAAATTTTTATTTGTGTTATCATTCTTTTGATTTTTGTTTTTAAATTGACATTAATTTAAAAGATACATGAAGTTGCCAATAATCTATGAAACAATAAACATTGTATCGGTATAATACTGTAAAATAAAATCGCATATAGTTTAGTAAACAGATTTACGAGATTTTACAAGGAACATTTTTCGTAGTAAAAGGCAATTACTTTTGAATGATAAATTTATCTGATATAGATAAATTAGGAATGATATAGATAAATTAGTATTTATTATATTAAATGAATAGAAACTTTGACCAGAATCTGAAAGTGATAAATTATGACAAATTAATTAGTCTTATATGAAATTTTTTATTACACATATTTATTTTGTATTGTATTCTTAATGGAGTAAAAATATTTAATTAGAAAATTCTTTTATTAGTCAGGTCTAAGTGGAAATCTTGTTGTACTCTCGGTGCTTTATTACGGGGGTGTCATGATGACCGAAGCACAAATTACCGTCGGCGATCTTACATCATTTCTCATGTATGCTGCTTATGTTGGCATTTCTATTGGAGGTAAGTTAATTAATTAATTAAGCTATAAGTTAATAAAATGATATGTATTGTACAAAAGAACATATTAATGTAATTCTGTCAATGTTGTTCTGCAGGTCTTCATTCTTTTAACAAAAACTGCCTAATTAAGTTTCTAGATAGAGTTGTTGGATATTATGTGATGGTTAAAATGTAGAAAGATTTTATTCTTTATTCGTCTTCGTTTTCTAAACAAAAGATGGCCTATATTTCATTGAATCTGTTTCTGTTACCATTCAGTTGTACTATTTTCTTCAAAAAATAGATTCAGAACAACCAGTCTGCTCTTTACAAGGAAAGTAGTTTTGTCTATACAACTATTTATTCAGATGCTCGATTCACAACCATATAATAATGTCTCTGTTCAATATAGACAAGAACAGTGATCAGATAATACAAAACTTAGGTAATATAGAACCCTATGTAACTCAAATTATATTTGAAAATGAGTTCTTGGACAACCTGAATAATGAAATAATAATTGGCCAAATTTTATGTACAGTTCTTTTTTAGATTTGGTAAATAATTATATTTGTGGAAAAACAATTACAAATATGTGTTTTTATGATCAAGTTATCTTTCTCATTGCAATGTTTCTCCATCTTGTAAGAAGTTTGTTTCTGTTAGAATGACAAATTACCATAATAAAATATATAAAGACTTCTAAATGATGATAGAAAGACATTTATTATATTTACAGAAACTTTTTGTACGAAGTTATCATACAAAAAAGTTCGTGTGTTTTGAGGGATTGACATCACTGCTTAATTGCATGCAATTCTAAATTGTAAAGGGTTTTCAAAATTTTTAACATTAGAAAAGAATTTAGTTATCGTTTCTTTATTTACCTGAAGAATTTTCCTCTTAATTTTTTTCAGTTTAGGCTAGTTTAAAAGTGATTACAATGAGTGAAATCTATTGTTTATATATTAAACTTATTGTTTTTTTACTCAAAATGTAATTGTTAAATAAAATAATTCTGATTCATCATTCGATCATGGATATATTATTTTCAAATATTCAGTAATTCTATGGAGAATGTTCCCCTCTTATAATTCCATAGCTTCTGTAGTTGTTAATAACAAATGGTTCTAATATATATTTTTATAAATCAGAAAATGCTTATTTGAACTTTTCAAAAATACACAATTCTTATTCTTGTAATATATTATTAATTTCAAAAGTTTAATGTGTAAAGGCAGTTTCAGATTAAGCAAACTAAGCATTTTCTTGGGGTCTCTGAATTTAAGAATTCCCAAATAGAAATAATTATCTATCGAATTCTACATTAAAAGGAAAACTTCAGAACACTAAATTAGTTGGCAGTTAAGCTTTGTAGATATATTATTTCTACACTGCAAAAAGATACTCTCCAGATATAAATCTGGAAATTTATGGCACACTACATTATTTTTTCTACATAAGTTCTATATTAGAAATACTTGTATCATATTAGAAAACGACTCATCTTCTAAGCTATGTAGACACTAAAGAAAATATTCTGTAACATTATTCAAAATAATTTAAGTTTGACTTATAAATAATAATGCATTACACAATACAAACTATAAACCTTTAAAACCAGCAGAAAAAGTTTAATAATAGCAAAAGTGTTTGACTGCATACTCAGCCATCATCAGGCTACAGTAAGTGTTCTGTTCTAAAATCCAATTAAATTTAAATTTACAGTTAATGTCCTTTCAAATAAATATATTTCTAATTTTAATGTTTTATTTTTTCATTTCATTACATTTTGATTTTAAGTGTGATCTTTAAGAACCATCTTCTATTTGAAATAATCTTTTTCCGACTTGTTGAGCCCTGAGATTCCACTCTCCAGTTGTGCAATTGAGGTTTTCCATAAGTTTGTATTGTCAAGTTAAGGAAACTCTCCAAAAAGGACCCAACTTTATTCCTCATGATACAAACTTATGGCAAACTCAATTAAAATAGTGTGGAATCTCGGGGTTTGATGAGTTGAAAAAAGATTATTTCAGATGGAAGACGGGTTCTAACTTTAACCTTTTGGCAGGAGCACAAGGTCATAAGTGGCCTCCTCTTCCTATCATTCTTTCACAAATTATGAAAAGATCTGAAGTTTGTATTTGTTTTCTAGTAAATTTCATCTGATTTTTATTATTAGAAAATTGGACTTTGCTGAAACATGTTTGGAGAAATTGAAAATACATAAATTTATAGAACTTAGAAATATATGCTTTAGAAATAAATATAAGTTTTGATTAATTCTACTTGTGAAAATATTATAAATTACATTGAATGAGAAGATTTTATGAAATTTTTTAGGCATCAGTTCATTTTATTCTGAATTAATGCGTGGTTTGGGTGCCAGCGAAAGGCTGTGGGAATTGGTCGACAGGAAGCCTACAATACCGTTAACTGGTAACTTTTTCTTTAATGTAGTAATAATAATACATAAAATATTTCTGTGCACAAAGGATAAGGATAAGAACAAAAATTTATTTTAGGTGGGCACACTTTTCCTTCACTGAAAGGAAATATTACTTTTGATGACATCACATTTTCTTATCCAAATCGTCCAGATGTAAATATCTTACAGAATTTTACACTGTCGATACCCCACGGTTCGGTTCAAGCTATTGTCGGTCCGAGCGGTTCCGGAAAATCCACCTTGGGAAGTCTCCTCCTCAGATTTTATGATGTTAATTCAGGTATTTTTATATTAAAACCTTAATTTTATAGTAATAAATTCATCAGCAAGCTACAAACACTGTATTTATAGTTAAATTTATTTCATTATTACATTTGAATTGAAATTCTAAGTGATAAATTTTACAGGTTCTCTGTTAATCGACGGAAATGACATTAAAGACCTGGACACAAGTTGGTTAAGAAATCAGATAGGAAGCGTCAGTCAAGATCCTGTATTATTCTCGTGCTCGATTCGAGACAACGTAGTTTTTGGACTGTCTGATTCCTCGAACGCAATCGAAGAGAAAGTTGTTCACTCTCTTAAAGAAGCTAATGCATGGGAATTTATAAAGCAGTTTCCCCAAGGATTAAATACAATAGTTGGAGAAAGAGGAATCATGTTATCGGGTAAAATAATATCATTCTTTTGGTCCTTAAGATCATCTGTTAACGTTAACATTTAAATTAAAGGGGTAAATACAAACTAGAATTAAATTATGACCTTGATTGCAAAATAATTATAATTAAAGTAATATACAGGGTGAGTCAAAAGACTCTTGCACCCTTTTCACTTCAAAAGTATCAATTATGTATATACATAGGAAGTTATGGAGAATTGGAGGGAATTTCACTTATGTTGTAACTTTTTAATGAGTGGAAGTAATCAATAACAAAGTTAAAGAGCATCATTTACCAAGAACCAGCCTGGAGTGGGACTTTCCTTTCTGGATGGTTCTAAATTACTTAATAAATTATTAATTTCGTTAAGAGATGGTGCCTAACGTCTACCTCTATTACCAAATTACTTAATATCTAGTTATTATTAATAGCAAAATAATAGCCCAATTAATTATGGCAATAGTTTGGTTTAGCATCACTGTCAGGTTTTGGGATGTTTATTATATATACTTTTATTCTTATCGATAGTTTTATTAGAAGCATATTTTCTGTGGCTGACTCGTAACATTAACCCAAAACACCCTGTAAATGTGTGTGTTTGTTTAATTTTAGGTGGACAGAAGCAAAGAATTGCTCTTGCTCGAGCCATTATAAAGGTATTTATTAAATTACTTGTTCTCTTAATTAATATCTTTTCCAATCATAAAGAAATTTTATCAGACCCATTAAATTATTCACCTGTCACAACAAATAGTGCAATGTTCTCTTATTAATGTAACCAAGTGAAAATTAGAGCCACCACTAGTTTATATTTGAGTTTCCAAACACAAATATGCAATTAGGTGTAACAAGAATATCATTTTCAGTCATAGATATACATCAGTCATCTGAATAGATGACTGATGTATATCTGTCTATGACTGAAAATGATGTGCAAGATCATCAATTGTAAAATAAAAACAACAACGTACAGTGGTACAGTGGTACCTCAGGATACGAATGCCCCAGTATACGAAATTTTCAGGATACGACATGAAATTCTAACATATTTTTGCTCCACGATACGAACAAAAACTCACCATACGACGTTACATTAGTTCGCAGCGCCATTTTTTTTATTCATTTCTGTTCATCGGTCTCAGTCTGCGTGTTTGCTTCATCGTGGAAGGATCTCGCTCGATAAAGGAAATCTCAAGGTATTATCAGAAAGTGACTGATTTTATTGAAAAGAAACATCCCAAAAAGGTTCACACTAGCTGCATTGCTGCTCAGAGTAATGACATTTGCCTAAGTCATTTTAGAAACATTTTAAAAAGTAGGCAAAGCCAAATCTCTTTGGATAGATATTTTACCAAGCGACCTCTATCCAGTGAAAGTGAAGGAAAGAAAGAAAAAAGCAGTGAATAAAAATTTTAAAACATATACAGGTAGCCCTCAGTTTACGCCGCAGTTCCGTTCCTACAAAAGCCGGCGCAAATCGAATCGGCGTAAAACGGACCCNTTAGCATACTGTCTATTCTCCGTGTTCTGTGTTGGTCAAGGCTAGTTATTGCTTGTCTTCACTGACACTCCGTACGTAGTCGTGCACTCTCCTAAAACTATATAATGAGTACTGCGTAAACGGTCAAGTGGGCTATTCGAAGCTGGCACGGTTGCCCGGGCTAAATAGTTAAAAGGCAATAGTCTTGGTGGAGTGATGCCGTCTGATTTTGGAGGTCGTATCTGGCTAAAGGTCGCATGTAGAGGTTTGGTTTCTTCGACTGTTTTACTCCTGTGAGTGTGGTCTACATTTTGAGGTGTAATTGTACCTAAAGGATGTGTCGAATAACTGTAAATTACAAAATGTTATGTCTAATGTTAATATTTTATCAATGTTTCTACAATTTGTGTATATGTAAAGTCAAAATATGTATGTAATGATATTTTCTTTTGCGAGTTGTTTCTTTTGTGTGCTGGAATAAGTTTTTCGTTTTGTGTTCTTTATTTTAACTGTGTGCGTGCTTAGTTGTAGGTAAAATACTTGTTGCCTATTACTGATTAACTTTGTATTTTTGTAATCGTGAGGGCTAGTAAAAAAGAGAAAAATTTGAGAAGAAAATCTGATCCATATGTCATAAGCAAATGGTTTTCTTAAATAGAAGAAACAGATATAACCAAAGATGTTGAGAAAGCTGCAGAAGATAATTTCAAATTTAGTGTTTGTGATTTACAAAGTGAACAAAACAAATCAAGATGAGAAGGAAGAAAAAAATGAAGAGGATGTCATGCCATCTTTGAATAATTTTATTGGAAAAGATGAACAGACGAGATGGAATAAGGAAAACTGCATGTAAATGCTCTTGTGAATTCTCACGACATTGTTTTACATTTACCCAGATCAAAAAGAGTGCAAAAGGTATAGTCAATGCAATTGACCATTTGTCTTTTTATAAATGGTTCTGTTATAAAGTTAACAATGAAAAATACAAACATTTACGTTGAAGTAATAGAATTAAATTTTGGACGTGACAGAGATGCAAGACTAACAGACAAATCTGAAATTAGGGCCATTATTGGAATTTTTTTTCTTATTGGAACTCGTGGAGGTTCAAAAAAAATTGTTGGAAAATATGGGATAATTCAAATGATTCGGGCATTGAAACGTGCTTTTTATTAATGAGTCTTAAAAGGTTTAGATTTCTATCAAGATGTTTGAGGTTTGATAATGTGAGAGATAAGAATGGAAGGAAATTATTGGATAAGTTGGCTGCTTTTAGAGAGCTATTTGACAAAATAGTGCAACTTTAAAAAATGTTTTATTCGAAGTGAATATATTATGGTAGATGATCAACTTGTTGGTACGATGCACAAAAAAATTTTCCTGGAATTTTTGCCAAATAAAGAGAAATACATTACTCTTCACTATTTGGATATGAAAAGGATATTAGTGTAATACTGCCCTAAATGTGCAAAGACAGTTTTACATAAGAAGTAAAATATATTTGAGTAGAAATTAAATTAAAATTAATAAACATTTATTTNGTACTTCAGGAGAAACAAGATGCTGTAGTGATAGCCACCTCGTTCCGCTACTTTCGGCATTTATTATTTAATTGTAAGATTCGAATTTTTCCAGTTCTTTACAATTTTCTTCACTAGCCGGAAAAACTCATCATTTGTCTTAAAAGTTCTTACGTTACATCGCCACGAAAACTCCGCTAGCTATTATAGAATAGGTATGACATATGTGCTTAATAATGACAATTTTATTATTACTAGTCCAGTGTATTGCTAAGAGAATTGTGAGATCGAACGGTGACACTCGCATCGTCGTTACGCATTCGATAACGGAATTTTGTAATTATTTGGTAGTCTTCTTATCAAGTAATAAATATTTTATACATTTCTTCTGTGAACTTCACAGGATCTAAAAGTTGCATCGCAACAGACCCATTAAACACCAATATTCTTTGTTAATACACACAAACATCTATTTAAGGAAATGTCTGTACTTTGGTTAAGCAAGATCCAGAAATTTTTAATCGTAGATGTACAGTACACTTGAAATCTTCCCAGCGATTGAGGCTGTGTACACATTAGGCGTTTTGCGTTGCGTTAAACGCGCGTTAGCTCGGCGTTCGACGACCGTTTAGTGGAGCGTGAGCACTTGCTCAGTTTGGAAATGGACATGAAAGTAATTGCTTGTGTGTGCCCCCTCCATCGTCGGTATATAAGACGATGGCAGAGGCAATTCTTACACGAGACGAGATAAATAGATCAGTATCGAAATGGAGAACGATCATTTCGATACTGATCTATTTATTGATGAAATATAAAAGAGACCAGCCATAGTCAAATGATTTTATAGACATTCTAAAATAATTAAAAAACTTGGGTTCATATTATCTTAGTTTTGGATACAACGTCACAAACATTCCATGCATCAGTCTATCTCGTAATATTGGGTGCACCCAAAATTCTCTTTGCCTCTGCCATCATCTTTTATAGCGACGATGGAGAAGGCGCACACAAGCAATTACTTTCACATCCATTTCCAAACTGATCCAGTGTTCACGCTCCACTAAACGGTCGTCAAACGCCGAGCTAACGCGCGGTGTGTACGCTGATGACGCGCGTTTAACGCAATGCAAAACGTCTAATGTGTACACAGCCTAAGAAATAATAATATACGATCCGCTGTTGGCAAAACGAAATTTTGCTCTGCAAAATATAAACGTAGTCTCGTTTCTAAATTGTTTTACTTGCTGAGGTTTCAGTCTCGTGTAAGAATCAGTATGATGAACCGAGTGTTTTTAATCACTATTCAGATATTTAACTTTGTTTTCTTTTTCTTCATTAGCATCATTTATTAATTTTAGCTTCGGAACGCAATTAGGTTACATGCAATACAAAGTCGTTACTTTTAGGACGGATGCGCATGCCCCGCGCAACGAAAAGCGGCACATTGAAGTCACGTTTTTCGCCGCAGAAGCCCACTTCGCGCCATTTTTCTCGTACCGCAAAAATCGGTCGAATTCTACCTTTTGCGCCGCCGCTGTATCGCATTGCTAATGGCCAATTGCGGTTGGTTTGGAAGTCGCGAGAAAGTTGAATCACGTTTTGTTTCAATGACGCAGTGGCGTACCGTTGGTGTCAGCCGCCCGGACGGAGGAAAATTTCGGTCCCCCTTATTTAGGTATATCAATTTAAAAGACCAAAATTCAGTTTTGTCACAGAACAAGCAATGAAAAATTCGGTGGTAGTGCAGCGATCTGTTTAAAATAGTTCTATTGGACATTAGTGGTGAAGGCTATATGAACGCGAATGAATCGTACAAGAAAAAAAAACAAAAACAAAAAAAAAAGGTCAACAGGTTTCACAGGATTTCCTCGGATGAGCAACTTACTAGTTCACCCTGACGATGAGCCGTTCCCGGACTGTCCGGACGATAGCACTATCGTAGGCGCGATGCAAGTATAGATTAGGATGTTTCAAATTTTTAAAACATATTATTATTTATTGTGAAATTTTGCCGCCCCCTAAAAAGTGCCGCCCCCACTACAGTTCGCCACTGCAATGACGGAAAGTTCATCGCGGTTAACCGAGATAAACGACATCAGAATAAAAAGAGAGGATAAATATGGCATACGATACGGAAGCTTTTGTTCGAATGGTAGAAAGTTATTCATTTTTTCTGCGATAAAAGTAGAAACGACAAAACAATGAATCTTACTGAAAATAGTATTTTTTTTATCGAAAGATATTAATTGAGGAATAAGTGTATTCTGCACACCGGTTTTTACTCAATGTAAACAAATATCTCTAATTCAAAATCTTCGGTTAAATCTACTTCGACGGCGTCTTCTAGCAAAATAAAACCAGCCATACAAAACGAAATTTGTAAGCGCGGGAACAGCGGCAGTGTCGGTATCGTTCGCCATCTTGAATATTTTACGCATGGCCGACATCTAATAGGATTGCTGTTTGCCAGTTGTCGTGCCGTGGCGCGGTGAAGATGCATTTTGCGACGTCGCTTCTCGTTCCCGCGAGTCGTGTGCATCCACTCTTACTTTTCTATAGCGATCGTTTAAAAATGTTCTTTTTGACATTTTCTCTGCAGTTTTCCTAACAGTTCGCATTCTCGTCGTTATTAACATTTCCTTTATTATACTTTTCGACGAAACGACTTTCACTTTCTACAATAAAGGCAGTAGATAAGTTATAACGTGTCGTATAACGTAATCATGCAGTAATAAATCCCAGGTGCATGGGAAGAAGGGGAGAAAGTGTAGGTCTCGAGTTGTGTACCGTCTGCACTCGCCTAACGTCAGCTCTGAATTGCTGCGATTCCGTCCGTCAGAAACGGCCCGAGATCATTCTGTTGTCGTTTCGAGTCATCAAATGTGGTAAAAGCAGGCATTACGGGTGTTTGCTAATGGCTTACGTCGATGCTTCCGTAAGTTATGAGAGCGCTGGAAAAAGTGTATCGCGCCCGAGGGGATTGTTTTGAAGATGGGTCCGCGTTCAGGTTTTAAACTATTCGAGGCAAAGAACTATACGCCAAGTCCTCGAACTTTTGGATTCTACAACGTAAGTGTGTATAGTGTCTATATGTATACATAATAATAATCTTTTATTAGCGTATGCTTGGCTCCGCTATGCATAACCAAGCTGATAATCAAAAATTAACATAGTAAATCAGGTACAAAATTGTAGGAAATAGCGAAGAAATAAAATTAAGAAAGAGTGAACATATTTACAATATTTATAATAAATAATGCGAAAACCAATTCGCATAGATCATCTACCTCGGCAACTCGCTGTGGTAGTTAACAAAGGGGGTATAGCTTGTACATAAAGTGTAGAGAATAAGTTAAGATTGGTCTTCAGCTGCTTGCAGTGACTTTCGAAAGCTCCGAGTACTGCTTGACCAAATTTTTGGAGATGAGAAAGGTCTTTGTTCTTGATAAGTAGGCCGGGCTCAAGGCCAGGTATTGCCAGTGTCGTAGGTCAGGAGTCGGAGTTTGTTCCTTTTCAATCATAATAAATTTGTTAGTATAGTGTTGGTACCCGTCTTTCACTCCACATATAGGACAAAGCTTGTCAGTTCTTCCGGTAAATCTGAAGAAATACGAACTAAATTTCCCACGGTTAGTGAGAAATTGTGTAAGGAAAAAGGAGAAAACCACTTATAGTTAAGTAAGTCGAAGATGTTAGGAAGAAATTTATAAATAGTGGCATTGTTGCATTTCTTTCTAAGTAGTAATCACCTTCTCCAGAAGAATTCTCTTCATCGTAGTAGTAGTAGGCCTACTAATTTTATCATAAGTGATTGGTAGTTTGAGATTACTAGCAGCTTGTTGCTGACGATGACCTGTCCAGTTTATTTGATAGTTGTGACGGACGCTTGAATAATATTATGTATGTCACTTAAATATATTACTTTTCTTATACTTTTACTTATTCGCAAAACAAAGTTTAAAACGAAAAGCCTTACCTTTTATTATTTAATTGCGATGCGAGGCAAATCATCAGTATTAAAATGTAACTATAATAATACACATTCTTATTCTTATTTTACGTATTATTTGTAAATAAATAATGTAAAGAAATGTTGTTAACTACACGTGAATAAATTCACTAAGGTGTAATAAGAGACTTAAAAGCGACGGCAAATGGCGTGGTCGTCCGTTTTATTCGAGGAAGCGTCGGTTCACATTACCTCGATTAATAGGGGTTCAATACGTATACTGTATATTATATATATATAGTAGAACCTCGACTTTTCGACATTATATATGTGTATATCATTCGATTCAGTTTAGCGTGAAAAATTCGCATTTAAATGTAAAATTTGGAATGTTGAGGCCGAGGTATTGAGAAAGACTAAAAACAAGACAATCTTCGAACAGCTGAACCGGTAACTGGTCATAGCCAGGATGGGGCTGGCCACCTGCCAATCTCGAAAATGCCGGAGGGATCGATTAACAGGCATAATTTTAGAAATGTTTTTTTATTAAATTTTTTAGCATAATATTAATGAAAGACGTTAATAACGATTAAAATATTATACTAGAATTAACCTAATTATCAATAATTTGTATTATTTCTCTCCTTAATTGAACGAGATTTTCGTAGAAGTCTAGTCGTTAATACTAAGCCAGAGCCGAATTTTGTTTCCAATCCTGCCCTGCACCTAGCGCTAACTGAATTTATTATAATATGCCCGCGACGTTGGCTCCCAACAGTTTGTATCGATTACACTCCAGCCATTCGATTGTTCTACCTCTGTAACGAATTGTTCCGTAAGAATTTTTGTTTGTGTGGCATTAATTTTTTGGAAAAATCCAAAAACATTTGGGTGACAACTTCACGCTAGTCCCCACTATTGCTTATCGTTTTGAAAATGTGTCATTCGATTGTTTATCTATACCGCATTGTTCTGTGAAAATTTTCGTTTGCATCGTGATATTTTGGGAATTAGAACCGACTTAATCTATATTAATCTTGACATCTGTGTGCTTTCTGTGAAGATGCCCCTCGGGCGTTTCTACCCAATAAGAATTGCTGCGAACAGATTGCTCTTTGTTTGTATTGGCTTGTTCCATGAAAACTTTTGTTTGTACTGTACCATAACACTTGGGAGATAGGTCAATGTTACTTCGATTGTAATTTATCAGTTAGATTCGAATTTGCATCCAGGCGGGGTCGTACGGGACTCCTTAGATAGAGCGGTTTCCTTAAGCCATTGATTTTTTAAATAAATGAAATAAAATGTTTCTTTACTAATAAAAAGCAGTCTTAAAGGTAAATACGATATTCATTTTATAGGGTAGGAACCACTACAAATCTCAGTTTTCTCAGGGCCAGGGGAAAAAAATCTTCATCTCCTCACTAGACGATTCCGATCCTAGGCGTTTGTACCAGGTATACAACTGGACAACGGTTAATTATTGTATGTCGGAAGCGGTTAACAAAGCACCTCAAAGTTCTTGGAAAACCATTTCTTACTAAGAACTTTTATACATTTTTTGTGTTAATTTATATTGTATTTAATGTATAATGTAATGTATTTTTAACTGTAAGTAATCGTCGTCTTTGTTTTTATATATATTTGTTAATTTTGGGGTAGATATGAAGGGACATCGTCAATTGGGCTACCGCGAACTGGGCGACAAAATAAGAGATTAAAACAATAAACAAAATAATAGTTTTTTTTCCCTTTATAAAAGTCACCGTTCTTTTCTATTGTTTCCTTGCCCTTTAAATTTAAATGATATTTTTAAGAAACGAGTTAAAAGAATATTTCATAATTAACAAACATATTTATATATATTACACAACATATTTATTTATTTATTTTTACAAGTAAATAGAAAAGTCTGGAAAAACAGTCGATATATACCCCAAAATTAACAAATATATTTATACATAAAAACAAAGCTATTATCTTAATCTTTGCTATCGTTACTTTTTGTCCAAGCAACGCTGGTTCATCCTCTAGTAGTTAAATAAAATATATCCTCCAAATCACATGCTTGCTAAGCGTGCAAAAAGTTTTAAGTTTCTATCCCCCCAGCTGTCCTGTATCCGATTATCAACTATTACTTCGGGACTTTTCTATTTACTTGTAAAAATAAATAAATAAATAATATGGTATGTAATATGTATAAATATGTTTGTTAATTACGAAATGTTCCTTTAATTCGTATCTTAAAGAGTACAGTATTTAAATTTACAAGGCAGGGTAACAATAGAAAAGACTGGCGACTTTTATAATGAAAATAAAAAAATTGTATTTTGTGTTATTTATCTCTAATTCTGTTGCCAGTTGACGGCGGCCCATTTGCACCAAAAGGTTTTCCCTACACATTTTCTTTTGCTACCGATTTTTAATAAAATTAATTAAGATTGGTATTGCTAGGCACAATTTTTACGCCAAATACCGGTAATCTGTTTCGAAAACTTGAATGTGTAAAAAGAGAAACAGCCCATAGTTTACGCAATGTTGTTATTACTTAATTAAGCTGAACTAAGCTCTTAAAATCGCACGATGGTCATTACGTACTGTACATCTTAGGACAGTGGTTCTCAAAGCGGGTGCCGCGGCACCTTAGGGTGCCTCAAGAACGCCACAAGGGTGCCGCGAAATTTTTAAATAATTAAATTAAAATTGCTTAAAATAATTGAATTAAAGTATTAAATTAAATAAAAAATTAAAAAATACCTTTATAACAATAACTTTTGTTTTGAATGATTTTGTATTGTTTGGAAATAAACCTACTTACTTTAATAAAAAAAACTTTTATTTTTTTCAAAGTCTTCTCATCCTTCATATCTTTACTAACCGTAAAAAGCAAAATAATAAATAATAATAATAATAATAGGGGTGCCGTGATTTCTTTTAATAATTTCAAGTGTGCCACCTGACGAAAAAGTTTGAGAAACACTGTCTTAACCACTCGGGCAGCCCCCGTCTTAAATTTTGTGTATGAAATATGGCTTCATTAAAGTTCAGATTTTAATATTTTAAAAAATTTTCAAGAAGAATAAAAAATATGATGACGAAAAATTAAGCTGACGGTCTATTAATTAAGACGTATGTTAAGAGTTGCCAGATGTCTCGGTTTTCCGGGATTGTCCTGGATTTTTTCCTATTGCCATCTCGTGATGGACTTTATTCTAAAAACTGTTCCTACGACGAACTATCTTTGTGAAAAAACTGCCTATCCTTCATATTCTGAAATCGAAGTATCCCAATTTCTTTCGAGAACTCATTTTATTCCGGATGTTATTCCAAAATACCTGGCAACCCTAGGGGGATACTACGTCAGATATGGAACTTTTCTGCCATAACGAACATTTTTTATTGTTCTAGAAAATGTTTTAAAAAATAAATAATTAATATTAATCATTTAAATTTCAATTATAAAAAATAATAAAATTAAATGATTAATTAAGAAGATGGATAGAAATTGTAGGTGGCGACGAAATCACACATCACGTGGCGTAACGTCCGTTCAATGGTGTAGTTGTGATAATTGTAGTTTACGTCTTTTAAGTGCTACTTACGTTGACAGAAAAACATTCATAAGTACTTACAAGTTCTCTACCAGTTTTTGCTGTTAAATGAAAACTGTTTTATAAATATTAATCAATTTCACTATCTGTATTTGAAAACGTCAAGATATTTTCCTTGAACTTTATTATTATGTTGACATTCCTTTGAATATATTTTAAATTTCTTGAAAGATTCGACCGTCAGGAAAAGTTGATATAAGTTATGAACAAGTTTATGTTATAATTTAATGTAAAATCAAGATCTTTCATCAAAATGTAGTTCTTACCTGTGATATTAGAATTACAAATGATCAGTTTATATTCTCCACGTGTGCTTTTGTGTCTGTGAATGCTTCTGGAAACATAAAGTAGAGGTTCAAGGTAACACTGAAAAATGCTGGCCTCTGCGCATCTGTTATTACTTCGGTGTCCGAAGACGAACATCCCGCCGTATTTTTCCTTCGGAATCAAAAATAAGTTATCGAGAACCTATTCGTGCGGTAGAAACTCCACCGTCTCGTCGTCTAAAGGTCGACGGATCGGTTGTCTACCCGTAAAACATTCCATTCTGAGATTATGTAGATCGAATAATATTTTATGCGTGAGAAGTTGCCCGTTGTCCACTAGTCGAAAGCTTCCTAATCTACATGTCGGTAGGATTTTACAACTTGCAAAACCAGAAAAATGGAAGTTATCTAGTAAGTTTATGGTGTGCGTAAATGGCATTTTATATCAGATGACAAATTTTGACCTTTTACCGATTTTGCAACGACTTGTTTGAAAGTTTAAAAGGAATTAAAATTCAATAATTGTTTAAAATAAAATTGATTTATCTTTTAAAATTTATCAATATTAAACTTAAGTTTTTCAATTAGAAAATTTATTTTCAAAAAATAATGTTTTTTGTTCAACTTTTTCAACTTTCTGCTAATATATAATATTGAGATTTATGGTATAATTTGAAAATCAGCTCTTCATAATAATTGTTTCCAATTATTATTAACAGCCTTTCATCATCATCATGCTTAATAAAAGACAAAACAATATTAATTTTTTGGTTATCATCAATCATCATATTATACGTTAATATTATTTTGAAAATATTTAATGTATAATAAATAGAATTAACAGAAATAGTAGTTTGTGGACCCTCTCTGACATAAAAAAATTGACTTTAAAAGTTGTGCAAGTATTTTCTGACAGTTTATTCACTACACTAGTGAGTAGGCTTATAAGAACAAACTTACTGTATATTCCACATAGACAATGCTTTCCTATTGCCATCTTGTGACAGGACTTTTACTCTAAAAACTGTCCCTACAACGAACTATCTTGTGAAAAAACTGCCCATCCTTCATATTCTGAAATCGAAGCATCCCAATATCTTTCGAGAATTAATTTTATTCCGGAAATTATTCCAAAATACCTGGCAACCCTAGGCAGATACTCCTCTTTCTCCATTGTGTACCATGATAGTTTTATTCCTATACGGCAACATGACTTATGGGCAATCTGACTAGGAAGGGAATGCCTCTCGGGAGAAACCTTTCACTATTTAGGTTTTACAAATGTGAAGAAAACCTGGAAAACTCCACATGGAAAGCCATTGGCAAGGTACAAATTCACAACCAACTATCAATGTTTACTGGTTTTATCAACTTGGCCACTGGTGGGCATACAATGATACACTTTTCACAATTTCCCTTCTGTACACATAGTTATGGAGACTTTTTAATGGATTATAATATAATTTTAACTTTTATCTTATTGGCATTAAGTTGGCATATTATTGTACCAGTCGTAGGTTTGGCCATGTCCACAATAGTGTTTGACAATGATGGTAATTTTAGGCCAATATAATTCAAATTGCTCTTGAAAACTTGAAGCTTTGGTTCAGATTTAATCTTTAAAGCAGCAGGTATATGCCATTACTACCAAAACACTAGTTGAAGCAGTAATGGCACAAACTGTTTGTAAGTTACAATACAGTTTATTTATTATGCATGATAACGTTTATAGAATTAAACTTTAATCTTAATGTTATAAATTCGTTTTAGATTTGTATTATTTCTACAAATATGTATTTATTTATTGCAGTTGCCATCGTGTTGTTACTGATTTCGAGTACCGTGACACTTGCGGTCCCTTACTGTTTGGGTCAGGTGATCAACATAATATACAATATGCCGAAAGACGAAGTGAAGTCCAAGCTGACGAAAGTCTGTCAGTTCTTGATATTACTTTTTATCATTGGTGGTCTTGCTAATTTTGGACGTGTCTATTTGATCAATTTGACAGGTATTCTTCAATTGTTTAAATTATATTAAATATTTCTTTAAATATATTTTTTGTTTTGAAATTTAGTAAATCTTTTAATTTTTGATTATTTGTTGCATATTTAAGCAAAGAAAAATATAGTTAAATAAGAAAATAGAAGAAAAAACTAAAATGAAAGATTATCATCATCCTTAAAATAAAGTTTAAACTGCTTTCTTCTTTCTACTTTAGGACAGAAAATAGTTAACAGAGTTCGAACAATGGTTTTTAGTTCTATCATGAAGCAAGAAATTTCTTTCTTTGATGTCAACAAAACTGGAGAATTAATAAATAGGCTGTCGTCCGACTCGATGGTGGTCGGACATTCCTTGACGCAGAATATTTCTGATGGGTTGAGATCGGCATTTGCAATACTATCGGGAGTCGGAATGATGGTACGTACATAATTAATTTTTTAATATTGTAATATATATAAATACAATATGATAAATTGTTTCAGGTGTATGTTTCTCCAGAACTGTCTCTTGTTGGACTGGTAATTGTTCCGCCAGTTGCCATCATTGCCGTTATCTACGGTCGATATTTACGATACATAAGTCAATCTCTGCAAGACTCCCTAGCAAGTGCTGCCCAGGTAAATTTCATATAATCGTCTCTAATATTAATAGAATAATTAAATCTTTACCTGCATTACTACATCCAATTAATAAACTCCAAATATCATTAAAATGCAGTCTATTTTAAAAATCATTGTAGCAAGGCTCATGACACACCTAAAGAGCTTGAATACATCGCAAAGCTAGAAAGAGATGTAGGGCTTAAGCAAAGTAAAGTAAAAGCCTTAATACAAGAAGCAGAAAAAGGAGGCAATAAGACTAAAGATAAAAAAGAGAAAAAGGAGTTCACCATAATGGAATACAGGGCATCGTTAAGAAACATATACAGAAAAATAGGAATAGAGAGCAACAAGAAAATAGCATATAAGAGAAACACAACAATATTCCAAATGCTAAGAAATGACAAAACACCTGTAGACAGGAGGCTAGTTCCAGGTTGTACAGTATACTGTTGCATTATAAGAGGCTAAAAAAGGAGCTATATTATATAGGAGCCACAAAGACATCATTAAATGAAACATTGAAGAAGCACGAAAAGAATATAAGATTTAAACAGCCAGTCACGGCTTTGGCTAATTATGCGATCGTGGATCCAACAGAGATTGCAATCGAATGGAGCAAGGCCAATGTTATACAAAAAGTTGAAAATAGAAGACATCAAAGTATGCAGAGGCCGGGCACATCTATAAGTACAGGGAAGAATATAAATTTTCGAGAATCAAACAAAATAGCATCAGCATGGAAAGCGGCAGCGTTACAATTATAAAGAACAAATGGACTTGCGCATTCGAATCTGAGAAGACCGTACATTTTGGAATTTCTGTTTGGCAAATTTAATTCTGTTAGTTTGATCCTGAAGAAGGTCTGTTAATTTGACCGAAAACATTAGATAAGTTTTTTAAAATAGACTGCATTTTAAAGGTATTTGGAGTTTATTAATAGAATAATGTACTGTTAACTGAAAAAATACATTATAACTCTACAGATCATAGAGTTAATTGATAAATAAAGTCTTCATGTTGATAAAATTAATTTGGAAAGAGGTAGAATAATATAACCAGCTTTAAAAATTAGAAAAAAATTATTTATTTTAATTAGAAATATTCATTTTTTAATATAATTATCATTTAAGATAATGCATTTTTTCAGACATCCAAGCCATTTTTGCATTCTGTACATGGAAAAATTTCCTAATTCTTTCTTGATTTATTTTTGTATGACAATTTGAACTTTAATATTTAGTGTAAAGTATTAACTTATCTACACCAATCTTAATTTTGGGAACTAGCAGAAATCTCATGGTGCCAGATTTACACTATAACAAGGATACAGAATAATGAGTTTTTATGTATCTTTGCTGTTTTCTTACAGTGTAACCTTCCATTGTTATTATGCAAGAAGAGTTTTCTGGTCTTCATGAATGTCTCTTGAGTGCTTGTAAGGTTTGAATTTCAAGAGGTGTGCAACCTCCCAATGTTAAAAATTCAATTACTGGTTGTTCTTTCTGTAGAACAAGGACAATGAGTTCATGTTTAAACTCAACTTTTATACAATAAACTGATATAGATTAGACACTAGTGGTGATGGTCACAGATATCTGTCGCAGTACACTGCAGTAGGAGACTTCTTTTATCNGCTCACGCTAATATAACGCATAATGCTGCAATTGATAATGGATTGTAAGTAAAATTTTATTCAAATGTATTTTAAATTGTTTATGTATTTAAAATATATCAATGTTTTTCTAGAAAATCTACTGATGATTCACCTCCAAGGATGGATAAATGTTTGGAAGAATTTTTTTCAGTTTGTAATCAGATTGAACTTAATCTGGTAAGCATTAATTGTTTTATACATGGTTGTATGTAGAATGATTTACTGATCAGAGAAAATCACTGAGCATTAATTAATGCTTGGTTTTTTTTCATAGAATCTGAAAATTAATATAATTCTAAGTACCTTAAATTTGTTTTATTCAACAATAAAATTTTAAGCACATATATTTTAATTTATTTAAAGTTTATCAAAATTTTTAAACTTTCAAGTCTGTGTAACTTTTTCCTCTCATTTCACTTTGGCTTCCTTTTTAAATGGCATATTCAGCCAAGGTTGTATTAACATCAGTTGTTTTAATATCTTATCCATATTTCTCTAATCTTTTTCTTAAAGGTTTCATAAGATTTCTTGGTAGGTGTTTGACAGAACAACATTTTTGAACATATGAATTACATAAGGAATGTGGTAAAGATTTTCTAAATTATATTCTTTTCAGTTCTGAATTTATCAGAACTGAGGTCTGATACTGAACTTAACAATTCTTGTTGCAAAGTGAGTTTGATCATTTAATGCCAGTGAAAGCTCTAAATGAATCTTCCTTCACATATGGTACTTAACTGCCTGTTTACCAAACTCACTCTCTAAGCACAATATGTTAGGAAGAAGGAAGGAATTACTACTACTAGTTGGGAACACATAGTTCTTGCATATGCTTACAATTTCACTTTGTTTATAGACAGTTTCATTGTTTTGTTAAAAATAGAGACTCATCATATATTGAATACTACTACTGCTCAATATCAAACAATGTTAGATCTTGTCATAACTCATAAAAAAACTTTTTACAGGTAATTGTTTATATTTACTATGAATAAGTTATCACCATACTTAATCAAGTAGAAGTTGTCAAATGGCTATATAAACATTGTTTAAAGATCAAATGTATGAATAGGGTCATAAACTATATGATTTTGAAATAGCAGCTAAATTGTATTTGAAGTGAATTAATATTTTATAACTAAGATCTTAACTGCTTTAAACTATAATTTTGTTTCAAGTACATCTATATACAGTGAAAACTGCTTAGACGACCACCTGCATTCGACGGGCACCTGTCAAAACGGGCAAAAATTTCTGGCACGGAATAGTTTATCCATAGAGTCTTCGTATAAGTTACCTGTATTAAACAACCACCTGTGTAACGCGACCGCGGGCATCGATTTTTGGTCCGAAACAACATATAACACCTGTAATAAGCGACCACTTTCGCGAATGTATCTGGTCTAAACTATTGTAAGAACCCATCTCAACAACGTTTCCACCTCCTAATATAATGAATTAGTCTAAACTCTCGTTCGAACCC